AAGCAAATGATGATTCCAACCGCCAACGGATGTCAAGTCGGAGGAGAACTCAAGTCGCACCAGGACTACCCACTTAAACACGCACACACTTACTCCCCCACGCCCTCACGCACACTTTCCAAACCTCTTACAAGTGACCCTGGAGACAGGGGCTCCACACCAATCACCACTCCTGAGCCCTAGGCCACTTCTCTCTCCCCAGGTCTCCCCCCCCCCCCCAGTGAAGGCCACTGCACAGGCCAAGGGGACCCTGGGATCGAGCTGCCATTCACTTCCCTTTTCAGTTTCCACATCTAAAGTCACCATGGCACTTACCACTTATAAGAGCTCAGAAACTCACTGATTACTGCAACCACTGTCATTGTGCCTCTCCTGGGAAAACTTTTCTGTTACTCTCATCCAGTAGCTACCAATTATCATCCCCATTTACAAAAGGGGAATAAGTATAAATGAGGCAGAGGAGTGCTTTTTACCAGTATCAGTGACAGAAACAGGAGCCCAAACCTGATTTTCTCAATTTCATTCCGGTACGTTTCAAAATGACAGTGGTTATCAGCAATTTCTTTCAAGCATTTCTTGTCAGTCCCTGGGACTGATGCTGCGGTCCGGACAGCCCAGTGCCCGTGGATGACGGGAGCGGCGGCCGGGGGGACGCTGGCCGAGGCGGAGGCTGTCACTACTCCATGAAACTCTGCCCACGGTTTACTCAGTTTGCACACTCCAGCTAGCCAGTATTGTATTACTTTGGATTCCAGTGTCCTCGTTTCTTCTCAAGTGCTGGAAAAATGATCGAACTGACCTTTTCATACTCTGCCCTTCCCAGTAGTGTATACAGAAACAATTACCAAGGGAGGCTCTGGGAACTCCAATTCTCTGGGCGCTCTGGAGCCTCTGCCACCACAAGTGGTTTACCACCACCTCTCCCGACGACGTGAGCAGGGCTCACATCCTCCAGAAGGTGCTAGAGGGAGGGGCGCTTAGAGAAATGCCTAACTCACCTCAACTAAATCACTCTGAGGTAGACAGAAGCCCCTGGCCTTTTCAGAACCCAGCTGTTAAGGACAGACCTACCCATGAGCCGCATGCTGGAAAAACAAGGCCTCTGGCATCTGAATCTCCAGTGCATCACAAACTTCCTGCTGTTACCTAATACCCCCCCCAACTCAGCCATCACGGTTTCCAGGGTAACCGACAGAGAAATAGCAGCCTGCCAAATGGCTTTTGTAGTTCCCCTTCCAGCTTGTTTTTCAGGATGGAATTAAAGCTAGCTGGAAAAAGAACCGGACTAATCTTTACAACAGGGACACAATGCAGCCTGAAATGTACAACCACATTTGGGACAAGGAGTGTAGAAAAGCTCTAACAAACTCGGCTTGGCAGAATTTCCAAAACATGTCAGCGGAGGTAGGTGTAGTTGGTAAGCTGTACTTCTGTCTTAAGACAGTATATCCTGACATTGGCCAGGGGATGGATACAGTGCTATTTACTGAGTCTTCAGCCGAATTAACAGAAGGGGAGGTGGCCCTAGTGGAAGAACAAGATCAGGCCGGTTTATTATGCCCCTGCCCCCCCCCCCGCCCCGTGCACTTTATTATTGTTAAAGGAAACAGTAACTTACTCTAAAATCAAAACGAATGAGGAGTTGACAGGCTTGGGCTACAGGACAATGAGGAAGGGCTGGCATCGCGGAGGAGTGAGATGTTTAACCCTAGGGATGACGCATGCCTGAAGCTGGCTCAGTGGACTGCGTGAGTCAGAGGGGCCCCGACGCCCAGGGAACAAAGATCTCCTTACCATCTCCGCACAGGGAGAAACTGTTGGGGATGCAACGTCTGTGGAACTGGGGCGGCTTTTAGCTCCGCAGCTGAAAAGATGAGCTGCTTAAGGTGCCAGACCAAAACAAACAGCTGCTGCAGGGTGGAGCAGTCTGAACATGAAAAAGAAAGAAAGGCTCTTTCTCTTCGAAAGTGTCCCCAGACAGGTGCTTTTCTGTGCATATTCGAATGAAGTACAGGAAATCTCATGATTCTTCTATGTCAGTTTCAGATGGGAAACTGACACTAGTCAAAGAGATATTAGCTCCTCTTCTGGCAGGTTAAAACTATCTGGATTTTGAAAGAGACTCTCTGTGACAACCTCAAGCCCACTCTAAGTGTCTTGATGAGAGACAGAAAAATGACAGTCTATAGTGGCACACTGAGACAGGTGCCTAGGAGTTACAGAAAGGCAGACTCCTACAAATTCCACACAGAGACGAGCCAAACTTATGCTTGTTGATTTACGTTTTACCTTGGGTTGTACGGATTGTGAGTCATGTTCCCAAGGCTATCACCGGAGCTCAGAAACAGAAGTCGACAAAGACTTGCAGTGACCACTTCCTTCCAATCCTCGAGAAAAAGATCATCACAGTAAGATGGTGATGAGGCACTCCAGACGCATTTCCTAGGGCTGTCAACTCAAGGAAAGACTTCTGCATTTCCTGTTTAGCTAGAGTCACAGAGCCCCAGATTTTCATCTGTTAAAGAAACTGGAAGGACTCTTTCCAAAGGTTTAAACTTGGGTCCTCTTTACCCAAGAATGGGACTTACTGATTCTGGGGGAAAAATCATTTTTAAACTGTGTTCACTTACGCATGATTATAATTCAAATATACTAGCACTCAATTTCCCCATCTTAAACAAAAGCCAGAATTGAAGGAATACATAATTGCAACAATTCAATCACAGCTAAGACCATGTAGGAAGCCAAAACTTACTAGAGCCAGTAACCTGAGGTACTGACACATTTATATTTCTTCCCCAATCCGTTTCCTCAGCCAACATTATTTCAAGATGTCAGACAAATTTTCTTCCTCATTAGATCTGTGTTGATCGAATCAGCCACTGTAGTTCTAGTGAAGACTCCCTTGCTGCTGGCAGACAATTAAGGGGCCTTCACCACACTCTGTGTTTTGCCGCCTGTGCTCTCACTGAAGTTCATCAAAAGAGACTCCAAGAAGCCTTGAGAAGGCAAAGCTGCAGTGTGAGCAGTGGCCCTCTTAGACAAAGACTCTGTTCCAAGTGGCTGCCCTGAGAAACGACGCCATGTGATAGCTACACTCTCCATCCACACATTAACCTGCAACATGACTGAAGTACGTTACCAACAGACAGCTCTTGATCACCACGAACGTTTTATATCAGTAAAGGAAGACCTTCAGCTTCCTGGAGGTGAAAGGAATGGAGGTGTTCCGGGGACCAGAACACTGTTCGCGCTTAATACCAGTTATAAACCACCTATACGGTAAAATTAATTGTCCAGAAAGTATGCTTCATAAATTCTTAAATTTCAATCTATAAATAGGCCAAAAAAATTTTTAAAGGGGATGGTGGTAAATGAACGTGGGTAAAGAAATGGTACATGAATACTTAAATACTTGGCAACAAAGAAAATAACTGCGAAGAACCAGAGATGACAGTTACAGTACAGACTACACTGGACACACTACAGCTTTTTCAGCCAACGAGAAGGACAGAAGGATGCCTCCAGCAGGAAGGCACGGCACGAGCATGTGCTACATCGAGAGGAGGAGGAAGACTTCATCATACTCACTGCTGCAGCCCCGGCTCCCACGACACACCTAGGACACAGCGGCTGTTCAACACGCCTGGCTTGAGAAGAGGGTCTGCATTTAAGAATGAGCTGAGGTGTATCTCTGATGTTCATATAACAGGAGTCTTACTAAGGGCAGGAGGAAGTCTTCCCATGTGGGAACTGAGGAAGCCTATGTATAACAGCATAACCAGACCTAAAAGGGACACTGCAAAGGTTGGGCAGTGGCTTCTCGAGTGGTGCTCCCTGGTACGTGGGAAGGCCGTCTGCCAAGGACACTCGAGGGCCAAAGTGCACAGGGGCGGGTTCATGCAAAAGCTCACTGACAAATGACAATCCCCTGCTCACACCAATCGATGTTTCAGTGTAAACAAAGCAAAGAAAACCTAAATCAAGGGAAATTAAATCAACAAAAGGTACTTAATAGCATAAATGCTATATAACATATTATGCTTCAAAATACTATGCTTGGAAACCCAAATACATGTCAGAAAAACAGTCTCAGAAAAGTATATTTGATGAAGGACAGACATGAGCACAGCTTAATAATAATTATGAGGTCAAGTTCAAGTCCTGTACAAGACGCAGCCTTGCAGGCCTTCAGCATTGACTGGGTCTGGTAATAATTTTATAAAATGAAAGATTGGGAACCTTGGTTAGAAAAAGACACAAACTCTGGAAACAAGATAATTTGCAGGAGGTTTTCTCTTTTCTTAGAGTTCCTACCATCTTTCTATCCACCTTCGTCGTAAGGTTCTATACTTTTTGATTAAAAAAATTAACAGCCTTGGATCGCTCAAATGTCATGCACAAAAGAGCTGGGATGGAAGAGTGAAGGTATTACAGTCACTTTAGTCACTGCTTCTCTACCTGAACTGGGACAGACCACCACCTTGGAATAGCTGGCTTGGAGCTCCTCTGGAAGAATTACAGACTCACTGGTGTTTCAGGAGAAGGCAGTCAGGACGCACGCGACGCTGCCGCACAGCAACGCGGCAGCAGATCACGGAACTCACGATCAGGCCTCTCCAGGAGCATCTTCCTTGAGTCTCCCTGCTTTCCCTTCTTGCCCCCGCCAGCTTGGGCCATCCCTTCGTAAGTCCTCCTTTAGAGCACTTTTCGTAATTACAATTATTTGAGTAATTAGTAATATCTGTCTAGCCCCATCTCCATGTGGACAGGGATAGTGTCTGTCCTTTCCACCAATGACAAAGAGCCCCCAGTACCTGGCACGTGGTGGGCAACGTCTGTTAGGTAAGTAAATGAATGAATGGGCACTTCGGGGTAAGCAATCGGTTCACAATGTTTCGTCAACAAATCACATACTCCTATCCTCTAAATCTGAAAATAAGAGCTCTACAGAATAACAGGAAGGAGGAAGAACATAAAAAAAAGAAAAGGATACTCACTGGCGGGGGCTTCTTTCTCATCTCGAAAGTGCGTGTGGCACCAAAACTGAGCGAAGCAATGACGGGGCACCTCCCCAGCGAGGGCTCGTCGTCGCTGTGCCAGTCCACACTGTCCTTCTCGTTCCGGTAGAGATTGCAGAGCAGGGAGTTGAAGGTGTGGCCGGTGTTGTCTTCAATTCGGCTCTTCAGGGTGCGCAGCACAGGATGCCACTGCAGTCGGCGGGCCAAGAAGGAGCAGAGACGCAGGTGGCGTCCACATGGAAAAACAGCCAGAAGGTGCAGAATCAGTCACATTGTAAACAGGGGCAAGGAATAAGCAAACCTCCTGGAATGCAATAAATGGCAGGCGAGAAGAGCAGCTTACCCACCCATTATTTCCATTTGCAAGCAAGGTGATCTCTGCAATTTTATTAAAGTGATAAATTTAGTATAACAATGCCATGAGGACCAGGTCTATCTACCCATCTCATCCTTTCCATGTTAAATACACAACCCTGAAAAAGGAGCACCTGCCGATACACTCAGGGCGGTCACCTCGCCGTGTAGGTAAGGTGGTGGGTGGAGCAGCGAGGTGGTTTGCCGCTGAGGGGCTGCCAGGTAGCTGGCAGACGCAGACACAGTCTGAGGAGCGAGACAACCTTCTTGCTGGGTGGCCTCCTGTTCATTCGATTCCTATTTATTGGGAATGGCAGAACTGCTTTTTTAAAAAAGATATTTAATATTTCCAGAGTGGCGAGCTTCCTAAAAACAGAACCTGACGGGGGAGCAATCGCCCTTCCTACAGAATGGAGTCATGGCTCGGCCTTGGTGAGTGGGGGGCCCAGGAAGCACAGGAGATGTAAACAGATCCACGGCCCTGCCTCCTGCGTTCCGAGGTCACCTATGGAGTTTACACTTCGGAAATCACCGTCTACACTGTGACCCCTGACCCTGGGTTGTACTTCGGAGCACACGCAGCGCAGCCCGTGTTGATTCTTGTTAGAATTCTGTCGGTCCCCCAAGAAAGCGCAAGTGCTTTACAGAGCCTCCTTTGGGGCAGTGGTTCTCACCCTTTACACTATCAAAACCTCTGAGGACCCACCGAACTTCTCTTTACAGGGGTTACACCTGTGGTATTTACCATATTAAAATTAAAGCTGAAAAATGTAAGCTATTGGTTCATTCATTTTAAAAATAACAAACCCATTACACGTTAGTGAAATATTATTTTATAAAAATACCTATGTTTTCTAATACGAAAACCTGGTGAGAACAGCACTGCTTTGCAAATCTCATTGGTGCCTGGCTTCATTAAGTACAGTTGACTGTCATATCATTCTGCATTCAATCTGTTGCAGCATTTGTTTTGTGGAAGTAAATGAAGAAAAGTGCCTTCCCACGGATACGTAATTAGAAAAGAGGAGGTGCTTTTATGGCCTGTTCAAATTACAGATATTCTTTGATATTACACCAAAACTCAACAAGTACCGATTTCTTTTTTTCAGAATGTATTTCTTTATCTTTAGAGAGAAGGGAAGAGAGGGAGAAAGAGAGGGAGAGAAACATTGATGTATGAGAGATACATCCATCAGTTGCCTCTCATGTGGCCCCAACTGGGGGCCCAGCCTGCAACCCAGGCGTGTGCCCTGACTGGGAATCTCACTGGTGACCTTTCGGTTCACAGGCCCGCACTCAGTCCACTGAGCCACACCAGCCAAGGCAACGAGTACTGATTTCTTAAAGACGAGTTGCAATGTGGAATCTGAAACCGTACGAACAAACTGTTCGTATCCTGTTATGTTTAAATCCACTGGTCCACCTTGCACTTTGAATAGCTCTTTAGTCCTGTTCGATTCTGTAACATCAAGCACTGGTCACCTGGAAAACACTGGTTCCCTGCAACACATTTCATACACAATATCAAAAACCCATACCTGTTAATATTACCATGGACCTCACCAGAAAGGGCAAAGTAATGGGAAGAGGTCAGGCTCCAGGTGGCAGTTACGAGTTTTCCGAAAATTCTAATTTTTGCTTGAAAACTCAACCTTTATCATTAGTTATAAATCCTGTTCATTGTTTTTCTTGAAGTGACGCTCACTTCATTCATTTCTGAGAATGTTCGCTGAATGCTCAAGTATAAACACGCCTGCCAGTTGTCCTTCCCCCCAAACAAAAAGGCCCCTGCAAAAGCAGCCGGGCCAGCTCGCAGCATGCACAGCCACACAGCTTTTCTCTCGACAACCTTCACACGGGCTTGTGGCAGGAATGCTTCCCACGTACTTTCCACTTCCTCAAACTGTTAAAAAGACACATACTGAAAGGCGGACATTTAATAAGGCTAATGTTTACTGCTTCATTGAGGGATGTTCTTAAAGGAAGCCAGCACGTTTTAAAGAAACTGGAAGTGCACAAATGTGAAGAGTACAATGGTTTCCAGCAGAGCTTGACGACAATGTCTGATTCAAAGCAAGTTTTACCCGCCAGCACTTTTTCATCCACCGTCACCGCGAATTCAACACACAAAAAATGTCATCCAGTCATATCACAGAAAGTGTGACCTTGTGGCCTTCCAAAAAGAATTCTGTGGCCCACTCCAGGGGTCCACAGATTGTGCTTTAACAACTGACACGTCAGAGAACCCCCCCCAAGTCCATGTTCTAGGGCTGCAGTAAGGGAGTGAACGCTCCTCGGAGGGATGCACAACACCATCAGGAAGCACATCCCACGGCTGCGGTCGGGAAGCGCTGCCTGGGAAGCACACGCGGGAGTCACTCAGCTTTGCTGGGCAAGGGGAACCGTGGTACGAGCTGGGGTCCTTTGTTATGGGTATTAATTAGCATTACATTCTAACCGAGGATTTAAAACAATGAATGGCAATAAGAACAAACAAGAACTTAGGTTAGTAAAACAGAAATATTATTAAACTAACCCATGTTCAAGAGAATACATTCCAAAGTGAAATTCCGTAATAATGTTAGTGAGCTGTATTTCCTATTTATGGTTTCAAGCTCGACTTCGTGGGGGTAAAGATCAGATGCTGGAGGACGCTCAGCCAGAAAAGCAGAACACGGAGGGGGAGGTGGCCCTTCTGCCCCGCGACAGGCACTGAGTGGCAGCCCGACTCCGGCGTCAGGACTGAACACTGAAAGCACCGCGTCTGCGTTAGGTTCTAAGTGGCTCTATCTGTTTTTTTCTCGGTTATTTCTGGTGGTGAAGTAAGAAGAAAGGGGGGAAAAAAGAGGATAATGAACTAGAGGATTAATTTAGACTCTCCAACCAATACTCTATATACAGATCCCTCAGAACTGAATGTCTAAATTAAAATTCAGCACCACCCCACTGTTCAGTGAAGACATTCTATCCTTAAAAGACATTTGAGGAAAAGAGTCTGAGAAAATATGAATCACCGAAGTAAAAGGGCCCATTCAGTGGCTTTCAAACAGTGTTCTGTGGAGCCCAGGGCAGCCCAGGGCTGCTGCTGGGGTCACCGCAGGAGGCGAGGCCAAGCCGGTGGGCCTCCCAGCCAGCCACGGCACCCTTCACTTTTCATGTACTGGGTTCATCTTAGATCTAATTCGAACAAAGACTCAAGGAAGTTTAATAACCTATGAATGAATCTGCTCCTGTGCTATGGGATATTGAGCTTGAGACAATAATTTTAAAATTAAACAAGCATCCTCCACACACACATATATACACATGAGTTCCCCTTAAAAAATTCTGAGACAGGGGCATGTCTTTTGATTTGGTTCAAGGTGGTACATAAAGAAACTAAATCTATTAGCAATGAAGACAAAGTTATGAGCTACCCGAATTCAAATGAAAGAATTCTAATTTGACAACCTTAATATCCAACAAAAGAGGCTTCCTTGAATAAGTCATAGCACACACTGATATGGAATACCACGTAGCCATTAAGTATGATGCTGTAAAGGAACATTTAATGACAGTGAAACATGTTAGTGATACAGTTAACTGAAATGCACTGCACACTGAAGGGAAGACATTATATTCAATAAATGGTGTTGGGAAAATCGGATACATGCAAAAAATTAAACCACGCCAACTCCTTACATCATATACAAGAACAAATTCAAAGTGGATTAAAGACTTAAATGTGAAACTCAAAACCATAAAACTCCTGGAAGAAAACATAGGCAGCAAAATCTCACCACTTCTCTTAGCAATATTTTTTCTGATATATCTCCAAGGGCAAGGAAAACAAAAGAAAAAGTAGAAAATGGGACTACATCAAACTAAAAAGCTTTTGCACAACAAAGGGAACCACTAACAAAATGAAAAGATGACCTATTGAATGGAGGAAGATATTAACCAATGACACATCTGATGAGGGGTTAACATCCAAAATTTATAAAGAACTCATACAACTCAACACCAAAATATATATATATATATTTTTACATATATAAAAAATAAATATATTAAACTTTACAAAGACTGTAGCCGAAACATTAGGTGAAAGAATTATCCAACATTTTAGTAATTCTTCGTGCTTATCTGCAGTTTCTAAATTTTCAATAACAAACACATATTACTTACGTTATAATAAAAGGGTTGTCATTAAAAGGGATTCCTTTAAGAGTTGTCAAAATGACCTTGGCTGGTGTGGCTCAGTAGATTGAGCGCCGGCCTGCAAACCAAAGGGTTGCCCGTTTGATTCCCAGTCAGGGCACAGGCCTGGGTTGTGGCCAGGTCCCCAGTAGGGGGCGTGTGAGAGGCAACCACACACTGATGTTTCTCTCCCTCTCTTTCTTCCTCCCTACTCTCTCTAAAAACAAATAAATAAAATCTCTAAAAATAAAAGAATATGGGAGGGGGTGTGGAAAGGAATAAGGGGGAAAATTGGAGAACTGTAAAAGCATAATCAACAAAGTATATTAAAAATAAATTTAAAAAAAAAAGAGTTGTCACAATGTTCTCCAAGCATAAAAGACCACTCCACTTAGCAGATCTTATGTGCTTTATGTTTATTACAAAGCTGTGGTTCTCAACCAGGGGCAGCTGTGCTCACTTCAGCAGGTGTCTGGCAATATCCAGAGTCATTTTTGGTTGTCACAGCTCAGTGAGAAGCGTTTGGGGCAGGTAGTGGGTAAAAGTCAGATTAACTGCCAAGCTTCCTGCAGTGCACAGGGCAGCCCCAACGACAAAGAACTCTCCAGCCCCAAATCATAAATACTAAGGCTGAGAAATCCTATTTGAAAAGATCAACTAGAATGAATGAGAAACAACTTCTTCCCCACACACAGCCTGTCTAATCCTCAACTTGTCTATGACAGTCGACAAAACAGTATATTAATTCTGACAGAAACACGGCCAGCAGTCTACGCTGGATTGACCTAATTCAGTTCTTTCTATGGTTCCAAATCAACCTCAGATACAAAGGTCTCAGCACTTCCCCGGATCACGTTCTAAATGCAGGCCTAGAAACCAAAGCACCGAAATATCTTCTTCTATGAGAAAGCCACGTACCACCGGTCAACACCTCATCCATGCCCATTTCAGTAAAGTGGTAGCTCGTGATTGTAAATGACTGGGAGGTCTGAAACGCGCCATGTCACATTTCTGTGTATCCCCACGCTGCAGGCAAAACTCCATTTTCTTCAAAGTCTTTTTCCATAAAGCATAATATTATTTGCCAAAGGCAAGATTCCAGGAACTAAACAGGGAGCTATTTCTTGGATCTTAACTCCATCCTTTGGACAAGTTTAATTTATATAGTAGGACCTCTTTGTTTACTGTCATGGAAATTTTTTAAAATAAAAGAAGTAGCAGAAACAAGCCAAAGCAATGATAAGCTGGAAGTCTAAGCAGTACAGCCACAGAAGACATACGAAATCAACAAGAAAAACACCGACTATTTCCCGCAAATCCCAAAAGAGCCTGAAAAATGAAAAGAGACATTCTGACCTCACTGGGCAGTCATTAGGACGTCGGCCCCACCGTAGATGTGACCCAGGGAGACACAGAAGGGCCACCACCAGGGATGCTTGGACAGGGAGGCGGGAGAAGAAAGGGTTCCTTTTCCTGCAGGCCTGGAGTCCGAGTCCAGGTCACTTTAGCTCCAGTTTCCCCTCATCTTTGGATCAAAAGCACAGCAATGGCAGTGAGCGCAAAGACTCCACGTGTGAGCCCCGAGGGTTTTCTGAACCGGGAAAGACCATGCAGCTCGGTACTGCGTTTTATTATTACTTTATAGGACTCAACACTTACGGTTTATAGTCTATAACACCATACAACAACAACATTCCAACATACGTGCGGATTGGGCTCCATAGTGACTCTGGAGTAAGTGTAGGGAAGCTCGCCATACCATGCTGTGAGTCTTGGCTGCTGGTAAGTTACATCTAAGAGAGAAAATACAGGGACTTTGAAATGGTTTAGCGCTGTTTGCCATGCACCTAGCGAGTGCCAACTACTCTGCCTCGCGTCGTGCGGAAGGCTGTGAGAAACACAAAGGACGAGCAAGGATGGGCCTGACCCAAGGCTCCGCCCTCCTAGAGGACAAGGGATTCAGGCGGAGAACGGTGAGAGCCAAAGAACAACACACGAAGGTAAGCCGGCATGAACGGAACGAGCGCAGGCTCTGCGGTGAGGATGTGTGACAGACCTGTGTCAGTTATGACATAAACAAGGGTGAGGGAGCCGACCAGAGACAAGGAGGGTCTAAAGGGCAGGACACAGAGCCCGAAGCCTCGCAGGTAGGAGTCCGCAGCTCCACATCGGTACAAGAAACAACACACGCCTTCTGCCGGGTGCCACTGCTGTGTGCGCGGCTTCGATTCTGCAGCATGAACAGAGTGCTGCCAACCACGGCGGGGAGCTGACTGCAGTCGAAGCTTCGCGTGTCCGATTCACTGGGAGAGGGAGCTACCCGCAGACCTGCCACTTCCCCCACAACTGGCATCGACTGCTACAACAATAAGAACAATAAAGGCAGCTAACACTCACTGATGGCTTACTATGTATGGGGCATTCTGCTAAGTACTTATCATGCATTACCTCATTTAATTATCACAAGAACCATATAAGGTAGGTATTATTATGAGCTCCATTTTACAGATCAGAAAACCAAGGACTAGCAAAGTAGTGTAATTTGCTTAAAATTAACAATTAATTTGAATAAAAGTTAGCAATCAAAGCCAAGTCTGTCACCAAAAGCCCCGCTACAGAAACTGCTGGGAGTTAGGAGAAAAACCTGACTCTTACTCTGATGTCTGAGTCGCAAATGAAGCCAGTACACTTTGCCTCTTTACAGAAAATTTAAATCCACTCAACGTGCCAGAAAGGAATTGCGTGCTAGAGCACAGACTCCCCCCAGTGTCCACCTCTGGTATAACAGGTACTGTTCTTTGGGGATGACCACAGGGGAGCAGGTTGAGAAGGAGGTCCTGTTTACACACTCAGGAAAGTAGACACTAAAGCCACCGCAGGCTGGACTCTTCCAGTGAAACTAAAAGGAGACTAAAACGCCAGTAAGAAGTATTGCAAAAAAAATAAGTGCCAAGAGGAATCAGAAAAGAAAAAAAACGAGAAAGCAAGCCCTGGAAGTTTCGATGGGGAGGAAAGCCGGCACCATCTGAAGTAGTGACGGTAGTGAGTGTGCCGCCCGAGTGCAGCCAACCCTAAGGCCCTCTGCTTCCTTGGGCTCCCGCCCCATTCTCCTGCCCCATTCTCTCTGAGCACCGCCTGCGATTTCTTCTGTCCCTTCCGGCTAATTGCTACCCATCCTGGGGGTCTCGGGCAGGCTTTGGTTGTGTGTGTAAGCGGGCTGTGTGAAAAGAGGCAGCAGTGCGAGAACACACTCCAGGCAGGGAGAGCGGGCGGCAGCAACCACCGCGATCTCCGGGACCGACTTACTCTCTCGGATGCCGGTCCTCTGTTTCCAAGGAACATCTTGACAAAGCTGTTCCAATACCCAGTCGGCTTCTTTTAAGTCAACAAAGCCAGGATACAAACGTACCCTTGAAGCAGAAAGAACTCTTATTAACCAAAGAACACAGAAAAGACTGCTTCAGACGCTTTCAGAAGAGTAAATCAATCTGGGCACGGCCTCCTTCTGTGGGCAGACGGAATCACCTCACCCCCTCCCACAGCAACAGAGCCCAGTCGCACCCAGGTTGCGATGGTCCAGACGTAAAACAAACTCCTTCTGCGTTAATGCCAATAAAACAAGCATGAAGGATAAAGGGATCCCTGAGGGCTCTTACACACATGGGTGAAGTGCTGTGCCAGCTCTGCTGAGCTGGGAACCTTGGGCTAGTTACTTAACCACTGAACGTCGTCTGCAATGAAGTCGATACCCACCTCACACGGTCACTGGGCAAAGTAAAATAACTAATAAAATGCCTGGCCCTGTGTTATTTTAACAACTGATGATCTTCCAAGACTTGGCCAATTGTAGGGGAAGCAATCATTTATAATTGTATTACAATTAAAATATCCAAATATAGGTTCTTTCTCTCACTGAATGTACGCTTGTTTCAGCAATGCCAGGTCAGTTCCAAATCATTTTGGAGAGCCTTTACTGGGAACGTGCTCTTCAACTTTACTCTCTGATGATGCGTTTGGTGTTTTGAAAGAGCCAAAGCTCACCTTAAGCCATTCCTGGCTCACAATAAGATGTGACCAAAATAATGCAACTGTCTCCTTGTGTGACAGTTAAACTTGCTTTAAAAGGGGGTTCCAAAAAGGGTTATGACAAGAGCAGTGCCACTGGGCTAATTACAGAGACACCTTCTAAGCAATTTATTCAAATATGTCAGTGCTGAAATATTTGTTTTAAATGCCTCATTATTTTATAGTGACAATTAGTATACTCATGCATTAAGGTGATGTTTTCCATTTTTTAAAAAAAACGATTAATGTCACTTACCTAGATACGCCTGTGGGTGACAGGCTGATTTCATATACACCCTCTCTGCTAAAGGAACAAAGAACACAGACTCGTTAGTATCAAACAGAGCAATTCAACCCGCCGAGGGAAGGGCCATCCTTCGGGACTCCCGCAGCCCTGGCTCGCCCGAGTCACTGAGCAATGAGGGTGCACTGCGAGGTGGGCTTCCTCCACAGCTGGGAGCAGGGGCGGGGGGCAGCACATTGTTAGTGGTGTCGGGAACAGAATCCTGACAGGACCACACCACAGAGAAGGTTGAATAAAATAAATTCTGATCCTGCCCCTTTCTACTTCATCCAGTTTGGGCTGATGAAGTCCAGCAATCTATATTACACAAAGGGGTGCCAAACAGAGCCCCCACTTTGGAGGCTTGGGAACAGGGAGGCGTGTAACCGGCAGCAGGGGTGCTGCTGAGTGTCTGTTGCTTTCAGATCCATGTCTGATGAGGTTGCGCCTCTGGTTAAAGTCCGTCAAAGGCTCCCGCCCACTCTCCAGCATTGCACTGGAGGTCTCCGTGATCTGGCCCCACCTCCTGACAGCTCCCACCGACTCGCCATCCTCCGGCAACAATCACTGCCTGGGGTCTCAAGTACACCACCATGTTCAAATCCTGTGCTTTTCTCCATGCCAGGATGTCTCCCCACCATCCAGCACCCCAAACCAGCCCACCCCAGCTTCGGTTCAGTGGGAAATTCTAATTCTGCCTTCAAAATCTAAGCTCAGCATCAACTTCCTGACCTTTAATCCACCCCAGCGGTAACAACTCATCCTCGGTGCTACCATAAGACCTGCTGGTCCATGATACACAGGATGGCAATTTACCTGATTACAGGTGTATTTCACTTACAAGACTGAGGGGCAAGAAGCGGGCTATTATTCTGTTTCCTAGTACCTAGCACATAGTAGTGGAGCAATAAAGCTAAGTGAATTGAATCAAATGTGTAAAAGTACAAAACTCTTGCAGATGCGCAGTGTGCTGAGGTCCATGTATGAGAAGTGGCCCCGACTGGATTAGTGCCTCTGTCAAGATACCCGTGTCAGATCCTTCTCAGAAAGGTGAGTTGTGGAGGATAATATATAGGAGCGGTGTTCACACCACCCTCTGCCGTGTGAGTCGGTAGGTCGTGATCTCTGTGCTGGCTCTTAGGTAGATGTGTGAGCCCCTCTGAGCCAAAAGGTAGGCAGAACTACCAGCATAACTACAGTATGTATCACATTCCTAAGTGTGTTGCCTATGAAGTTTCCCAGAGTGTGAATACAATGTTGCACTGTGCTTTTGGGCTGCCCTTAAAAGCTGGCTCACTTCAAGTGTGAGCTAGTAAAAAAAAATCTAGCATAGCTAACTTTAGATAACCAAAATTAACAAACCCTAGGGTCAAGTAGGAATGAGTTCTGTCATTTTGCTCCTGACTTGCAAACTCACAATTGCCCATTTTTTCCCAGAATGTCCTGCCTGTACCTTGTAATGGGTTTCATGGTTTTGTTTATTCTCTTTATCACCAACGGAGACAATATTGCATTGGTATTTGTAAAACAATGAAAGGAGCTCCTAGAGTGGGCCCGCAGTGACCGAGTGCTCCAAACCCTCAGTATTACGGACCAGGAGAATGAAGTGCAGAGAGACAGCAACGAATTACCTAGAAACAGGGTACACAGCTAACTCGTGGCAAGGCCACAACCACACACCCTTTCTGAAAGTATGATGACATCTGTGTTAGTTTCAAATATCTCTAAAAAACACAATTCAACTGTTAACAGCCAAACAGCTTAACAGACTGCTCATGGGCGATAACATAAGCCTAGTCCTAAACTGCGAACATAAAGAGATGCTTTCCACTGACAATTCATGTGCATCAGATGGAAACTGAAACGCAGAGGAGTCAAAGCATCTTTCGACAAGTTTGAAAAACCAAACATTTTAGACACAGATGAATGTAAGAATGTTTGCTACCGTTTACTTGCTCTGGAACACTCGTGTGGTTTTAAGAAACAGACTGTAAGGTCATCTAGATTTCTAGCAGCTGTCACACACATTGCTGGTGACATAGTACCTAAAGCCTTCTCTAAGAGCCATGTTGCAGTGACTCGGGAGAAAGCCCCTCAGTCCTAACCTAGGAGGTGGCTCAGCTTATTGTCTGCAGATATGTTAGTGAGACAGGGTCAGGAAATCTACACCAGTGTCTGCGGTTTAACACGCAGATATCTTGTTGCATTTTCCACACCATTAGTACATTCAGAAAAGATTTCGAAAGACTAAGTCTAAATACATCTGAGATAAGAATATCCCAGCCTAAAATTAAGAAACTAATTGAGCTGTTATTTCTTCTAGATGGGAAAACCAGGGTGAGGGAAAGACCCTGGGCTCTCCATCTCAGTGAGGGCGCCGGTCCCTGGAAGGCAGAGGTCCCTGGAAGGCAGAACGTTAGTTACTTACTCGATCACGCGCAGCTCCGGGGCTCTGCGCACCACCTGCAGGGAAACAAGCAGCTCTGAGTCCGGCTCCTTGGCCTCGGGGAGGCTGCCCTGCAGGATCGCCAAATGCTCTCACTTCCGGTCAAAATGCATCAGGTTTAAAACGATCCTTTTTTTAACTCCAAACTCTTACTATCCCACCAGAAACCCTTGTTTCTGCTCTTCTTAGAACAGCTTTATAGTAGTTACTCATGAGCGTTAAAAGATGATGTGATTGGAATTAATCCATTTTCCTTACAGCCAGCAACTCTGAAAAAACCTTTCCAGGAGCGTTTTAAAAATAGAAGATATTCGGACTTCCGCCAAGATGGAGGTATAGGTGGATGTGCCGTGCCTTCTCACACAACCAAGTTTAGGGACAACTAAATATTAGCAACAGAAATCACAGCCAGAACACGGAAAATTGAACTTTTCGGAAGTCTGTTAACAACAAATTCTTCGGCCTGACCGGTAAGGGGCGAAACCAGTGGCTGCTGGAGCGAGGAGGACTCGGTCAGATGGGCTCAGGCGCAGAATCCAGACACGGAATCCAGGCGCAGGGTTGGACCTAATGAGCGACCGAGCGAGTGACCAGGCGAGCGACCGCGGAGGAGACAGCGGGGAAGCGGTGCTGCCTGTTGACTGTGGTCGCCTATTTGTGCACGAGCGGACAGGCGAGGGAGTGGGCAGTTGGACCGGGCCGGCGTCCCCGCGGCAAGCGGCAGTAGAGGGCGCCGCCATTTCCCCGCTCTGACCACGCCCCCACATACAGCGTCACAACCCAGCCACCTGGGAGTCCAAGGCGCCGCTTCTCACACTTAAAGAGCCAGAACAGACCAAAAATGTCGCAAATTCTCACAGTCCCTGAGCCCATAGACCTAAGCGATGAAGAAATAGCAAAACTCTCAGATGCACAGTTTAAAACACTGGTCATCAGGATCCTCACAGAACTGGTTGATTATAGCCACAAATTAGAGAAACATATGAAGGCGAAACTAATTGAAATGAATGGAATTGCACAGGAAACCAATAGCGATGGAAAGGAAAATGGGACTCAAATCAATGGAGTGGACCAGAAGAAAGCAAATAATGGCCAAACAGAAAAGAGTCAGGAAGCAAGAATTCAAAGAAATGAGGAGAGTCTTAGGAACCTCCAGGACATCTTTAAACGCTCCAATATCCGAATTATAGGGGTACCAGAAAGGGGAAAGGCACAGCCACCAGTGGAAAATTTATTTGCACAAATAATAAAGGAAAATTTCCCCAAGCTGGCAAAGGAAATAGACTTCCAGGAAATCCAGGAAGCTCAGAGAGTACCAAAGGAGTTGGACCCAAGAAGGAACACACCAAGGCACATCATCATTATATTAGCCAAAATTAAAATGAAGGAGAGAATCCTAGAAGCAGCAAGAGCTAAGGGGACAGTCACCTACAAAGGAGTCCCCATCAGACTGTCAGCAGATTTCTCAAAAGAGACCTTACAGGCAAGAAGGGGCTGGAAAGAGGTATTCCAAGTCATGAAATCCAAAGACCTACAACCAAGATTGCTCTATCCAGCAAAACTTTCATTTAGAATGGAAGGACAGATAAGGTGCTTCTCAGATAAGATCAAATTCAAGGAGTTCATCATCACCAAGCCCTTATTATATGAAATGTTAAAGGGACATATCTAAGAAAAAGAAGTTAAAGAAACATGAACAGTGAAAGGACAGCAAACTCACAGTTATTAACAACCACACCTAAAACGAAAGCAAACTAAAAGGACAGCTAGATCAGGAGTGGAAACATAGAAATGAAGATCACCTGGAAGGTTAGCAACAGGGGAGTGGGAGGAGGAGATGGGGGGAGAAGGTACAGAAAATAAGTGGCATAGACAGTAGATAGAAAATAGATGGGGGGGCAAGAATAACATGGGAAATATAGAATCTAAAGGACTTGAGACACATGGTCATAAACTAAAGGGGGGTAATGGTGGGGATGGGGGGGTAGGGTGGAGGGGAATGAAGGGGGGAATAGAACAACTGTAACAGCATAATCAATTAAAAAAATTTAAAAAGAAATAGAAGATATTCTATGAAGGGATTTGAATCATTGTTTATGAAATCCCTACTATAGCACAGCAATTTTCAACTGGTGTGCCATAGAAATTTTTAAAATGCAATACCTGACTATTTAGTCAATGCTGACTTCCTTTCCCTTAGATTGTCAAATTAAAAAATGACAACAGCCAACATAATAATAGCCTGTCTTGAACCATAAACATATAGGTCATATAAAAGAGTTGCATCTTATTGGTCACAACCCACAATAAGGTTGCATCTGATTGGTTAATTTTTGGTTCCAGAAATCCTTGTATACAAGTATAAGTACCTGATTCTTTAAAAAGTCACTTTGAAGCAAAAAGGGTAGGTAAGTACTATTATTATTTTTTGTAAATCAATCAAAATTATACCCTTTTTTATCAGATCGACAAAAATTATATTTTTTGGTGTGTTGCAGAATTTTAGTTGTTTATGTATGCCATGAGATATAAAAAAATAACCATTATTGAATGATGGCTGATTTTAACTGTTTTTTACTCTGTTAAAAAGAGTGAATCTTTACTGTTTCTGATATTTTCCCCCCATGCAAAAAAAAAAGCCCCCTAATCATGGTATATCTTCTGTGCCAAAAATAAAAATAAAATGTAACTGTATATGCCTACCTATAATTTGGGGGCAGACTACAGAGAATCCTCAAGACCTACTTAGAAATTGATACTCTACATTTCATTACTATTCTAGTCCTTTAACTTTCTTTTTATTAGTGAATTTATTCAGTCACCAAGTGTCTCCTACGTGAATGTAACTTTTATAAATAAATCCTTGTTACTGTTGAAGGATAAACAAGAATTTACCTGCTGGGGTTCTCTGAACACGAACTGCTTGTCTGACAGGTGATGCTCCTCGTTTATCCAGGTCTGCCCAGGCCTCTGGTGGAGACGGCTCTCGGCAGTGGTCGCTGAAGCAAGAGAGAGGACAGACTCACACCAGGGGAAAGTCTGCTCTCACCACCTCTGCCGAGCAAGGACCAATGAAATCCACTCAGGTACAACATCCGGGACATCTACAAATTAACTGGCAAGGTCTTCCAAAGACCTCAGCCTGCACCCTGAAAGGTCTGAGTGTAGTGACTACACATCAGGAACACTCAAGCTCAACCCTTAGCTCCCTGGCGACAAATTCACAAAAAACACCAGCCACATTTTAAGTAATTCCTAACCATCGAAATGGGAGTTCATTATAAACCAAAGGGATATAAGGAAAAAAGGATGATGGCTGTCCACATGCACAGGACCCCCACAGGTTCTCACCTGGCTGAGCAATGGCCTGGCTCTTAGCAGAGCTGGCCCAGGCTCCCTGCACCCGGACTCGCCGTCTTTTGTCCTCCATGTTGACCAGGAGGGCTTCTGGTTCTCAGCTTTCAGAAGATTTCACTCCTCACATGAACCACACAATGGTTACCTGTTTAAAAAAAAAGATGCTTTTAGTTGGGGTTGTGAGAACTTGTACTACTAAGGGGTAATTATAATCCTTTCAGGCAGCGAGACTGCTCAATAGCAACCAGAGCTTCTATATAAAATCACCATCTATCATCGCATCTCAATTAAGAGGCCTACTAAGCACTTAGGATTGCTGGAGTTAAGGTTTACCTTTTGCAATCTTATTATAGTGCTTTCATTTCAATCACAAAATAGCACATGTTAAGAAATTCTAAAATCAGGATTATGAACCACATTACTCTTATTAGTCCCCAAGAGCAGAACATAAGGAAACTAATACTGCACCTACACGGAAAGTGAGAAATAGGCTAAGACTCAGTTTCCAAGAAGATTTCCATATCCCATTATCACTGGCTGCATCAGACTTCCCTGGCAGCTTGTTAACAACATCCGTGGCCTGTCTCAGAAGATCTGACGCGGGATGGACACAGGTGCAGCAAGCACTGTAGGAGATGGTGATTGACAGATGTGTATGAGGTCCACAAGGTTAAGTGCCTCACCCAAAGTCACGCATGAAATCGACAGATAGATTAACATTTAAATTTGAAGTTATAGTCTTCAGAAAATCCACTTCATAACGGTCAGTAATGTATTACTAATTTGACGTTTTTATCGATAAAATTTTAGTTCGCAGCAAATACAGGAGTACAAGGAGCTACAAAAACAAACAAACAAGCCAGGGAGGTTTAGGCCATGTATTTTGAAACTCTGATCTACTTCTTTTTTATTTTATTTTTTAAAGATTTTATCTCTAGAGAGGGAGGGAGAACGAGAGGGAGAGAAACATCAATGTGTGGTGGCCTCTTGCGTGCCCCCACTGGGGACCTGGCCCCAAACCCAGGTATGTGCCCTAGACAAGAAAATAAACCAGAGACCCTTTGTTTCCTAGGCCAGCACTCAACCCACTGAGCCACACCAGCCAGGGCTTTAAGAGTCCACTTGAGACAGTTTCTCATCTAAGGTTCTCAAAGGTAACAAGCTTATTTTACGGCTTGTTTAGCCTCCCACCCCTGGTAATTGATTTCTGGGCTGGGCCCAGAAATCAGTGGGTTTAACAAATTCCCCAGGTAGTAAGTATGAAATTCTTCTTATTTAATAAATGGGGAGATTAAATAGAGGCTGCCACCTGCCCCAAAAGAGTTAATGGCTACCCTGGAAGGTGTAGCTCAATTGGTTAGGCGTGTAGGCAAAGCCAAGGGTTGCTGGTTCGATTCCCAGTCCAGGTACATTCGTGGGTTGGAGATTCCACCCCCTGTCTGGGCGCATATGAGAGGCAACCGACTGATGTTTCTCCCTCTCTTTCTCCCTCCCTCTTCCTCTCTCTAAAAATAAATAAATAAATAAATAAATAATCTTCAAGAGCTAATGGCGGAATCAAAGGCCAACTCTGCAGTCCCACAAGATGCACAGAGTAAGTCCTCCTTCCACATTTTCTCTCAATTGAGCCCTTAGAAGCTTAGCACGACAATCAGCTGTAGTTCTTGCTCTGTTCACAGGTCAGCGATATGTGTCCTGGGCAGTTGTTGAAAATACAGATTCCAGAGCCCCATCCCAGACCTACCGAATTCCTGGAGCTCCAAAAGTCTGTGTACTAACCCCACCCTCCACCCCGGAATTTTTTAGACATATGAAGCTTGAGAACGCCGCAGCAGGACAAAGAGCAAGAGCTCTGGCGTTAGCCAAAACTCGCTTTGAATCCAGATCTGTCACTTCCCAGCAGCATGATCTGCGGCAAATGACTTCACCTGTTTGGGCCTCAGTTTCCTCCTCTGTAGACAGAAAACCAATCTCTCTCTCACGGTAGAACTGCAGATTAAACGAGCGTGACAAGTGAAAGAGGCTGGTCCTCAACAAGGGCTAGCAACTTTCCCTATTTTAGACCTTTCTCTTCCAGGAGACTCAGGATGAGGTCCCGGAGGTCACGTGGGGAGGGACCTCAGAGGCAGTTGCCACGCCACTGGCCCCAAGCACCCATCGGTAAACCTGAAGACCGCACCTGCCCGCGGAGCAGGGCGCGCCGGTTCACAAACGTAGACCCTGGTGAGCAAACTCCAACCCAGGACTTGCTCCGCTACCAGCGGCCCGGGGAGCCTTAACAGTGCAGCACAGACTCCCGCAACTCCCAATCATAGACCCCGGCGGAAGGCACTTCCTCTTACGTTATGCCCCGCCTCGGCAGTCGCTTCCGGCTCCATCTCCTGGAGTCCGGGCAGCTCAGCGTTCCCGCTCTCGGAGGACCGTGTCGCTGAAGGTGCGGAAGGGAGGGCCGGGTTGGAGGGGAGCGCAGGGTTTAAGGGTTAGGTGGATCCTCGCGAGGAGCCGGGTATGTTGAAGGTGGGAATGAAGACGTCCTTCCTGGGCCAAGGTCCTCTGGACTCCACCCTCCTACCCTGCCAACTGGAGACTTCCCAGCATCCTTTCCCGCCCAGTGGAAGAGGGAGGAACCAGGTGCTAAGCAAAAGGATTTGAATTTTACCCTGAAAGCCATGGAGAGTGTAAGGTGTACCTCCTCTGCGGTCCCATTGCAGGCCGTGCATACCTCCATCAGTAGTACTTACAACAGAACGTGGGACCACGCCTTATTCTTCATGGTTCTCCAGTGAGTGCTAAGCAAATTTCGCTTGAGCGAACCGACCTAAGTTTCAGTCCAGACGCTAGCATTCACTATGTGTATAATCTAGGGCAAGCATTCCGCTTTTATATAAAATAGGCATAGCTCCTGTTGGGAGGATTAAAGGAAATAGTGTATTTTAAAAAATTAGCATGATGTCTGGTACACAGATAGAAACTCATCTGAGTTCTTAAGAAACATCTTTAAAGTGTCCATGTATCTTCCAGGGTGAAAATAGCAGAAGAAGCACCAAATTAACTATTTTATGCAAGTAATTCTTTATGATTACTCAGGCATAGTCACTGTAAAGTCTTTAAAAGAAGCCTCATATTAATATACACAGCTTACCTGCAGGAAGCTCAGTGAACTCCATCAATGTACCTTTTTTTTTTTTTTTTTTGCTAATATCAAATCTAATTTTCACAGCACCCATTATTCTTTGCTATACCTTGTGACATTGAAGGAAAAATGATTTATCCTGCAACTGAAAGGAGAGAAAAGTTGTAAGGCTAGACTACAATTTTTATACCCCACCCCCATCAACTGGTATATAATTTGTCAGTGTCTGCTTCTGGCTCAGGAATTTTGGCTGTATCTTCCAAAGGATGTAATTTATTTCTTTTTCAGTGGTTATGGTTTTGGAACAGGAACAAATAAGTCCGGATTGAGGAGTCCCTAGAAGTGTGTGCCAAATAAAAACTTTTCAAAACTCAGTACATAGCTCACTTGCATCCAAAATCAGTACATCTTTGACAGAATCACCTGCATTTTTACCAAGTGTCCCAGGTCATTCCGATACATAGAACATTTGAAAACCTTTTGGACACATGTAGGGTGACAAATTGTTCTAGTGTGGCTGGGATGGAGGGGTTTCCCAGGACACAGGACTTTATAAGTGCAAAAGCCGGGACAATCCTGGGCAAACTGTTGATCATCTTAGATACATGTGAGTATATATTATTAGAAATATAATCTTGATGCATCTTGGCATCCTGGGTTTCCTCATTTCTATTTGGAGGACTTGCTTTTATTGTGGGGTTGGGGGTTGTGGAGACCATGGAGAGAGAATGAAGGTGAAGCGCATTGCCAATTATTACTCAGGATTCTCAGTTCAGAACCCATCCTTCACTCCTCTGCTTATGGTACTGGAACTTTCTTTTTCTGTTTAGCCTGGTGTTAAGTTTCATCAGTAGAGGGTGCCAGAGGGACATTAGAAAAAGGGCTCTACCTGATTCCTGGGTGCACCTCTCAGCTTGGTCTTCAGTGTGTGGGGGGCAGCACTGCTATGAGCTGGATTGCTGTTAGTTGAATTTACAGCCTTGTTAAGTTTCTCTTGCGAAGTTAAGGCATTAATTGCAAAGGAACGGGATACCAAAACTTGAAATAGGGATATCTGCTTGGGCCCTGATGAAAGGGACAACTTTGAACCCAAGCCACCCTGAAACTCCCTTGGCAGTGGAAGTAGCTTGTCCTCCTACGTCTGAGGTAGACTAGTTGAACTTTGCTTGAAAGTCCTGTGAAACCCTCACAGGATGCAGATGACTCGAAAAACGCAGCATATGTCTGCGCTTCCTAACAGGTGAGATGGCTTCCCGATTCCTGCCTTCCTTTGTGTTCTGCCTTGACCTAGAGGTAGATCTAATGTAGAGGTTCTTCAAAGTGGCTGTTCCCTCTGTCTACTATTTCTGTATTTTTAGAGTTTTCCCTTTCCCCTGTAGGTGATTATTATGGTTAATATTTCTTTGTTGTATTTCTGCTCAAATTACTATATAGTTTGTCTACTTGAGTCCTGTTATAGTATGGTTATGATATCGGGGATTGAGAGCAATGGCTAGCAAGTGACTGGCCCCAAGGTTGGCCTTAAACTGTAAGTAATTGGTTTGCCTCTGCTTTGGACCCTCTGCGCTAGTACTCCTCTCCTTTCTCCACCTGAGAGAGGCCTCCTAAATTCTCAGCAGGTTTTGATGGTCCAGTTGCCTTGCCTCTCCTCTGAAATCATTGTTTCTCAGCACATAGATGGAAAACCATTGCATCAGAGTCACTAGGGGAATGCTTATAAAAACTTGCCCTAGCTGCTGTGGCTCAGTGGATTGAGTGCTGGCTTGTGGACTGAATGGTCACTGGTTCAATTCCCAGTCAAGCACATGCTTGGATTGCAGGCCAGGTCCCCAGTTGGGGCCGTGCGAGAAGCAGCTGATCGATGTACCTCTTGCACATCAATATTTCTCTCCCTCCCTTGACCTCTCTGTAAAAATAAATAAATAAATAAATAAATAAAAATTTTAAACCCTGAGGATTCCAGGCCCCCTATCAAGATTCAGAGTTAGCAAGTCTGGGGCAGGGCCCTGCATTTTGCATTTTAACAGTGCCTGCTTTGATTTCACAAGAATCTTCAAGGGTTCTCTCTGCCTTTTCCAGCTGCCTGCTTTCTCCAGGTGATCACTTTTCCAATCAACAGTTATTTCATCCCCTGGATGGCAAAACGGGTCAATGTTTTTGAGTGTTGATAGCTCTTAGAGAACTCATTCTGGGCGAGTCACACACTGCAGCCTATTTTCACTTGTCTGTTTTCACTCCAGACTCTTGCCCAACATTCCCTGTTTCGATCACATGCCACTTGGGGAGCGCCTGCTGCTGAACTCCGGAGAGAGTCCAATCCAAGGAAAATAATGGCACATCATGCTAATAGCTCTCAGCGAAGGTGTTGCAGAGAGAAATTCCCAGCGTATGTCTCACTGCCCAAGGCTCAGCAGTTCCCAGCTTGAGGAAGGAGGGTGGGACAGGAAGCTGCCAATTCTACAGTGTGTTCATGTGGAGGCCTTCAAGTCCTGCCAACTTTAAACCACACCGATGGAGAGAGGATGCTTCCCCAGGCTCCAGACAGGAACGCCTCCTGTTCAATGCCCAGCACGACTGCCGATGCTGCCAGAGACAACACCTTCCAGGAACCACAGTGAAAACTATGCAAAGTACAATTAAGACAGGGCCATTCCTGAAACGACATACGGAGCCATCTTCTGGGGCCTCATGGCTGCATTTTTTTTCAGTGACTTCAAAAGGGAAGCGTTGGTAGCAAAATAGTACAGTATGGAATAAGGAAATTCTCTGGACTAGCTGTTCAATTTTCCTGTAAACCTAAAATGAAAATCAAATGTACAGTCTTTTAATTAAAAAAAGACAATTAGCCCTGGCCAGTGTGGCTTGCTTGGTTGGAGCGTCATCCCACCACTGAAGAGTTAGGGGTTTGATCCCTGGTCCCAGTGCATACGGTCCCCTGGCTGGGTGTGTATGGGAGGCAGCCGGTTATTTCTCAGGTGAGGATTTTTAAAAAGACAATAAAAAATATTCAAACTAAAGCATAGAGAGAAAAAATGGTGGAATACTCCATGGAGCCTTCGGGCAGTACAGCTGAATAACACAATTAAATTCTGGCTAAATTAGAACAACCACACAGTGGCCACGGAGTCCCTGTGGATGCTGGTTTGAAGCTGTGTGTATGGCTCCTCTGTTCTCTTCAGTAATTTAAAAATTTCCCTTTGTTGTTCTATCATGTATCTGTTAGCTTACACCCTACCTAGAAGAAATGTAAAACAAGTAATTACCCAAAATCCTGCAAAATGCATTGGTTACTACTCTATACAATTTACTGCAAGACTGGAGTCACAAAAAAATAAGTGATATTTCCAAGGGCAAGAAAACAAACCAAAAGGGAAAAAAAAGTGTAAGAAGCAAATCAGAGCTAGAAGCAGTGGGCAGTAAGAAAACAAGAAACTAGTGGTTGCCCCTTGGAGAACGAGCAGACCTGTGTTAGGAGCAGGAGAGTAACTCGAGATGATTTGAAGATGAGAGAACTAAGCCTGAGATGACGGCACCGACGCAGGTGCCTCCAGTGCAGTGAGTGTGCACGGCTGGGGGAGCTCCCAGGCTGCCGCCCACGGCAGCAAAGCATTTGTGTCTGGGGAAGAGCATTTGTGCCCCTACGCAGCCCTCAGGGCTCTTCTCCAGGTTACAGTCAGCCCAATAGGATTTCAAAGTAAAAAAAACAACGAGAAGAAAAACCACTTTGAGTGAGAGGAGACATACAAACAGTAGATTTAGACTCCTAAGAATTTCAAGTATAAGAATCTACCAGATATAGAATATAAAATGCCAATGTGTGAAGTACTCCCATCAAATTTTAAAACTATATGAAGAATGAGCAAAGCATTATGAAACTACCAAGAAGCAAGACCAACTAGAACTTTTAAAAAGAAAAAATAGAAGTAGCAGTAATTAGCTTTAACAGCAGGTAAACTATGAAGAAAGAATTATAGAACTGGAATATACATGCAAACAAATTATGCAGTATGCAGCTCAGGGAGACAAGAGAGATGGAAAATGGGAGAAAATTTATGAGACAGAATGAAGATACGACATTTATAACAAGAGACAGGAAGACAATGGGAATTTTTCAGAAAAGACCAAAGATATGAATTCTCAGATACAGGAAGCACGATATAAAGCCAAATGTGATACATTTTTAAACTTCCACATGTAAATGCACTGTCATGATACTGAAGAACACCAAGCCAAAGATAAATGTGGCCAGAGATCCATCACCTGTGAAAGAATGCCGCATTGACACTAACTTCTGAACAACAACAATGGAAGCTGGAAGTCAGTGGAATGGTGAGCTATTTCATTAACCCTAAGGTGCCATCCATTCTAAAGCACACCTTTACTCATTCAATATAGCCCCAACAAAGAAAAAGCGGTCCTAGTTAAACTATGACATCAACCAGAAGGACGATCTGAGATGCAAAACAGATGTGCAAACAAATTGATAAACATGTAATTTATCTTATACCAACATGTTTGTATAAAATGATAATGAAAGCATCTAATTTATAGGTTTGAAAACAAATTAAAATCCTAGTCCACAAAAACATAAATCAGGAAAGGGTTGACCAGAATTACAATGTTCTAAAGACCATGCCTTCTTAAAGGAGGGTCTGTGGTCCCAGATAACTTAGACTGTATTGAGTATGAAGTGAAAAGGTTCAGGAGTAAAACAGGAAGAAAACATAGTGTAAACTTTGAAACTAATAAGGGGCAGAGATGGGATAAAAAAAAAAAGTCACAAAGGGAGGAAAAAAGCATAAAAGGCAGTAACAAATACCACTAAATAGCAGATCTTCATGTTTTGGGATTGTAATAAATGTAATTGCAATAAACCTGCCTGTAAAAGACAGAGTTTTTTCTATCTAGTGAGCCAAATAAAAACAAATTCAAGTTTATTTGGCTCACTAGAAACAAAGCTAAGATATAAACACATAGAAAAGTAGAAGACAGAAAGATTTAAAAATACTAAGATACTAACAAAATAAAGCCAAGGTAGCTGTAGCCCTGCTTCTTTAACCCCAGAAGATCATTAACAATAAGAATGTCAGATGTCAACCCCAAAAGGCATTAGCAAATAAGGATGTCATTATATGGCAGGAGTTCAGCTCATCAAGATGTAATAATTCTTAACTTTATTTACCTAACAAGATAGCATCAAAATGTATAAAGCAAAAATTGTAAAAAAAAAAAAACACAAGGAAAATGGACAAATCCATCATTACAGTGAGTAAATTCAAAACATCTCACACTGATAGATCAGGCAGACAAAAGTTAGTAAACATATGGAAGATTTGAATATAATTCACGAGCTTGATTAAATGGATATATATCAGAAATAACAAATATTTTTCTAGTGGGTAGTAATAAAAAGTTTACATGTGTATTATTTTTCTTAAGGCTGCTGTAACATTACCACAAACTGAGAGTCATAAATCAAGACTATTCTCTCACAGTTTGGAGGTCAGAAGTCCAAAATCAGTTTCTAGATCCCAATCAAGGTGCTGGCAGGACCCCACATCGTCCAGCACCTCCAGGGGGAGGGGTCCCTTCTTTGCCTTTCCAGCTTCTGGTGGCTGGTGGCATCCCTTAGCTTGTGGCTGCATCGTTCCGATCTCCGACTCCCTGGTCACATTGCCTTATACTCCTGCATGCAATATTTCTCTGCTTCTCTTACTAAGGATGCCTGTGATTGAACTTAGGGCCCATCTGGATAATCTAAGAAAATCCCACGATCCCTAAATTAATCACGTCTGCAAACACCCTTCTTAAAATATAAGGTAACCTTTACAAAGTACAAGGATAAGGACCCGATGTTTTGGGGGGCCATTATTCAGTCTTCAGCGATTATATATGGAAATATAGCCCTGGCTGGTGTGGCTCAGTGCACTGAGTACCAGCCTGCAAACCAAAGGGTTGCCAGTTCCATTCCCAACCAGGGCACATGCCTGGGATGTGGGCCAGGTATCCAGTGGGGGTACTTGAGTGGAAACCACACATTGATGTTTCTCTCCCTCTCTACCCCTCATCTTAAAAATAAATAAATGAAATATTTTTAAAAAAGGAAATATGTATACTTGCTTATACACATAAAAGTGTCTAACAGGAAATATATAATTTACTTTATGCCAAGCTGGATCCTGAGCACTTTAACAACATTGACTCTGGCCCACAACACTCTCTGAGGCAGGTACCGTTAGTATTTCTGTTTATCAGGTGGCAAAAACTGAGGTAAAGACTATAACTTGCCCAAGCTGTATCATACTCATGTTTTCTGACCAGAATGCAGTTATTTAGAAATGGTAACAAGATTTTTTAAAACTTTTTATTTAGAAATAATTTAAGACTTACAGGACATTTGTAAAAACAGGATAATTTCCATATACCCTTCAAATATTCAAATCACCCAGATTCTTCAAATATTACTATTTTGCTATATTTGCTTCATCATTTTCTGTACACATTTTTCCAACCCTTTGAGATCAGGTTGCATAGACAGTGCCTCATTATCCCTAAATCCTGTACTATACCATTTCCTAAAATTTGAGGACTTTCTTAAGTAACCACAGTACAGTGATCAAACTCTGGAAATTAACATTGATATGATGCTATTATCGAATCTATCGTTCTTACTCAATTTCACCAATTGTCTCAAAAGTGTCCTTTATAGCAGAAAAAAAAATGTTTCCCATTTGCTAGAATACAATCCAAATCGTGCGCTACATTTTTCAGATTTCTTTCATCTGAAATGTTGGACAAGTCCAACATTTAGGTTTTGCTGATATTCTTGGTTAGATTCAGGTCATGCACTTGTGACAGGAATCCACATAAATGATGTATCTTCAGTCTGTCATATCACAATGTACATAAGGTAAAATTAGTATTAATGGTTACATGAGTGCAAGTTTAAAAAAAATTTATAAAAACTTAAATTTGTGCTTTTAAAAACTTAAGACTGTGCTTTTAAAACAACATTTCTAAATAACCCATAGGTCAAGGAAATCATAAGGTAAATTTTTAAATATTAGCCCTGAGAAATAGTGAGTACATGTACATTTGTACACACACACTTACAAATTGTGAGATGTAGCAAAAGATAATTTAAAAAAACTTAGAACCTTAGATGTTAGTGTAATTAAACATGAGTTTAATGAGGTTAAACACGAGTTACATGTCCTGTTTATGAAGAAGAAAAATAGCAGGCCCTGGCTGGGTGGCTTAGTTGGTTAGAGCATCATCTCATACACCAAAAGGTCGTAGGTTTGACTCCCAGTCAGTTGTGTACGGGAGGCAACAGATCTCTCTGTCTCTCTCCCTCTCTCAAAATCAATAAACATATTCTTGGGTATGGCTCAAAAAGAGAAGAAAAATAATAGGAGGCTTCTGGTCAAGATGGAGGGGTAGGTAAACATGCCTTGCCTCCATGCACAACTGAAGTAAAAATTACAACTAGACTACAAAATAAGTATCACCCAGAATCAGCAGAAATCCAGCTCTATGGAAGTCTGACAACCACAGATTTAAAGAAGGCATATTCATCCAGACAGGTAGGAGAAGTGGAGACTCAGATACTAGCAAAGAGACACGCAGAGATGGAAAGGTAGGGAGAGATGCAGAGTGGCACAGAGAGGGGCAGAGATAAGGAATGGGTGGTCCCACATCCACATGTGGTAGATAAAAATTGGGAGGGGTACCTCGGGAGTGAGGGGTCCAGCCCCAGACCAGACCCCCCAGCCCAGGGCTCCAACACCATGAAGATAAGTCCCCATAACTTCTGGCTGTAAAAACCATTGTGGGTTGAGGCAGCAAAAGAAACAGTGGGAGTCTCAGGACCCTCCTCTTAGAGGACCCACAAAGGACTTTAGACTTATGGAGAATCATTCCCTTTAGACTTTAGCACCAGGGCAAGAGCTGGAAGGGCACCAGTGGCATATAGAGAGTAAGTGAAGGGAGTGGTATCAGAGCAAGTGCCAGGAGACAGCTTCCTCCTGGGCAAAGCTCCAGAGGCCAGACAGTGGCAGTGTCCCCTCTCTGAGCACCCCTCCTCACAGAGGCACAAAACAGTGACGTGAGTTATCCCACCCTGGCTCTGCCCCATCCAACTTACAGGTGCTCTTTTCTACAATAGGCCACACTACTAAGATGGGGAGTCAAAGCAGCTCTACCCAATACTGAAAAACAAACACAGGGAGGCTGCCAGACTGAAGAAACAAAGAAATGTGGCCCAAATGAAAGAACAGAGGAAAACTCCAGAAAGAGAACTAAATGAAATGAGAGATAAGCAACCTGTAAGATGCTGAATTCAAAACACTGGTTATAAGGATGCTGAAGAACTTATTGGGTACTTCAACAGCATAAAAAAAGACCTAGGCAGAAATAAAGGGTACACTAAGTGAAATAAAGAAAAATCTACAGGGAACCAACAGTAGAGGGGATGAAGCTAAGAATCAAATCAATGATTTGGAACAAAAGGAAGAAAAATAAACAGTCCATGAGAACAGCAAGAAAAAAAGAATTAAAAAAAAACAAGGATAGGCTAAGGTGACTCTGGGACAACTTCAACATACCAATATCCAAATCATAGGGGTGTTGAAAGGAAAAGAGAAAGAGAAAGAGATTGGAAACTTATTTGAAAAAATAAGAGAAAAATTCCCTAATATGATGAAAGAAATACACATACAAGTCCAGGAAGCACAGAGTCCCAAACAATATGGAAGCAAAGAAGCCCACACCAAGACACATCATGATTAAAAAGCCAAAGGTTAAAGATAAAGAGAGAAGCTTAACAGGAGCAAGAGAAAAGCAGAGAGTTACCTACAAAGGAGTTCCCATAAGACTGTTAGCTGACTTCTCAAAAGAAACCTTGCAGCCAAGAAGGGACTGGCAGGAAGTATTCAAAGTGATGAAAAGCAACCAAGATTAATCTATCCAGCAAAGCTATCACTTAGAATGAAAGGGCAGATAAAGTGCTTCCCAGACAAGGTAAAGCTAAAGGAGTACATCATCACATAGCCATTATTATATGAAATGTTAAAGGGAATTATATAAGAAAAAGATCAAAACTATGAACATTAAAATTGCAATAAATTCACAACTATCAACAATTGAGTCTAAAAAATAAACTAAGCAAACAAGCAGAACAGAAACAGAATCAGATATGAAGATCATCTGAAGGGTTATCAGTTGGGAGGGGGAAGAGAGAAAATGGGGGAAAGGATTAAGAAGTACAAATCAGTAGGTACAGAATAGATGGGGATGTTAGGAACACCATGGACATGAACTCAGGGGGAGACTGCTGGAGGGTGTGGGGATACTTGGTGGAGGAGAGCAAAGAGGAAAAAAATCAGGACAACTCTAAGAGCATAATCAATAAAATATTTTTTAAAGAAAAAGAACCCCCCAGAAAGCAGAACATAAAAAGAGCAGAGAGGATCAAAAAAGCCAAAAATTGGTTATTTAAAAAAACTAATAAATAAACAAACTTCTGGCACAATGGTAAGGAAAAGAAAGCGAGAAGACATGAACAATATCAGAGAAAGAAATCAAGTACACATCTAGCAGTAATTTAAAAACTAAGGAAATTCCTTTAATTACTTTATGCTAATAAATTTGAAAAGAAATGGGTAAATGCTTAGAAAACATTTTTTCCCCAAAATTGACTCAAGAAGAAATAGAAACCCTGAGTGGTCTCATGACCACTAAAAACATCAATAGTTAAAAATCTTTCTATGAATAAATACTTTCAAGGTTTTTATAAACTTTCAAGGAAAAAATTGTTCCAATCTTTTATAGATTCTTCCAGAAAATAGTAAAATAGGCAATACTTCCCAGCTGATTTAATGAAATTACAATCTTGCTATGAAAATCCAACTTCCTAAATATAGATGTAAAATTTCCAAAACAAATACGAGCGAACTGAACTCAGCAGTGTATAGACTGTAAAATATGACCAAGACTGTGAAGGCGATTTAATACTAGAAAGTCATAACTAAACTAAACTAAACTAAGGTCATGAAGTCTTCAGGAAATACATCACCTAACATACAAGTTCAGTGTATATAGTCGTAGCTGTTCTTGGGACACGCCAGTTACGCTCCCTTCTTGGGCTCTTTGCTCAGGCTGGTCTGCCTGAAATGCCCTTTCCTCGGGTAGCTGAAAGGCCTGCTCAGGACTGTTCAGAGGCCACCCCTTACTAAAGCCTGCTCTGAAGTCCTTATGGGCATCACAAGCCTCCCACCCTGACACACTGATTCCCCATCCTCCTAACCCTGCTTCATTTTTCCTCACAGCACATGGCACTTACGCTACATGATGATTATTCCTTTTGCTTATTATCTGTTTCCCTCCCTTGCTCCCTCCCCTCCTCCCAACTCAAATGTAAGCAGTATCCGGGTGAGAATTTCTGTCTGCTGTGTGCACTGCAGTTTCTGCAGCACCCAGCAGAGCCGGTGGCGTGGGGTCAGCAGTCCATTAGCACACCCAACAATGTGTCCAGAACCTTTGTAACCAGGAGGACCAGCTTGCTTATATCCTTTCAGAATGACCTTGTGTAGGACCGAGTTTGCTAATTTTTCAATGACACATATACCAAGAGAGGGGACAAAGCTGTAATATGCCATTCGCCACATTACAAGTTTTCATCTGATACGTGTGTTCATGCTAGACACATGTTCCGTTTTTAGACGTCTTCACACAAACCTCAGTAGAAAGATCTACATTCCCACAAGAGAATTCAAAGCTTAATTATGCATATATGTTTTGCACCATGAGATGAATGACACAAACATGCCAATCTAAAAATATTAGGATGTCACAAAGTAGTGAGTCCTCAACATTTTTTAAAATTAACTTTGCTTCTAATGGATTCAATAAAAAAGCTTTGATAATTTGTTTTGACACTGGTAAACTAGAGATAAATAGTGGAATCCAGCAGCACCTAAACCTCAGGTAGTAGACCCTTTAATGTTAGTAGACCGAGGAACTTACAGTCCTACTTTAGCTCCTTTTATTGTCATAAGATATTATCATAGTAAATCTTTTCTTTCACATTGAATCAGCACCGTTTGTACTGGTATCAGCATTGATGTTCCCTCCATGTCAAGTTCAGTTCTATTGTATTTTGGTGCCATAAATACCAACTGAGAAATCAGAATTCATCTCTTTAGGGCAGGACCACAGTTGAGGAAATGGAGACCAATAATATCGACTTTATCATCTATTTGCCTATTCCCAGTGTAAGTGGGACTGACACAATGACAAATGGGAGCGGCACACGTCATTACGTATGCAGCCTAATTCCCCCCGGGTCCCCTGTGCCATTTCACTGAAACAGGAATGAAAGACCAATAAATTAAAATCTGCTTTCTGTGTCATTAGGTGAGCTGATTCTACCTGAATAATCAATACTATCTTCTACTCTATGCTTTTTGGGCTCCAACCTTATCTAGCACATTTCAGACAATCAAGTCGATATAGAATTAAGTCTAAAAAAATGATGTTTTACTATGTTGAAGCTTTGCAGAACATTAGTTGCTCTTTTAGTACAATTTTTCTTTCATGTGCCTGGGAACATGGACTTTCATTTCATCATCTTCAACACTGAGTGTCAAACAGACGAGGACATTTGCTGAGTTGAAGCTGTGAGAGCCATACCTCGGAAGTTCTGAGACTGCTAAGGGATTTCCTACCCAGAATACAACTTTTCTAACAGGGATACAAGGAAAAGTCTTTTGTATACTTGTAAGCCAGTCCCTCCCCCTCTCCGCAGACTTTCCACCAGTGACCACCCCCACAATCATCAACCAGCCAACCAGCCAGCCAACCAACCAACCAGCCAGTGTGTGAAAGATGAAATACTGCCCGGCGATTGTGGTTTCAACAAAATGAGAGAGAGAAGGCAATGTTTTCATAAAGCTAAATTTATTCCATTTAAATGACTAGCCCTTATTCTGAGATTACATTCCTCCTACTGTTTGTATGCCAAAATGTCTTTTACATAACGATGGTAAATTTGGTTTTGTTTTTGTTTTATGTCCTTAGCTGACAAAATTTAAAGCTAGAAACACTTAAATATCCCAATTAAGAAAACGGTTTTCTAATTTACCGGTGCTTGAAACTCAGAAGCTTAGGGCCAGAGCCTAGAGAGAGACCCACCTTCTAGAAGGCACGTTTCGCAACACAGACTGTTGCCTGGCAATTTCCCCAAATGGGTGTGTGGCCGAAGACTTAATTTATATTAAGCCAGTGTGAAAACGGCCTGAAGTTCAAGCACCAAGGATTTTCAATCAACACCATGGTTATATCATCTCTCATTAAAACAAACTAATCCAACTTAAAAGTGTGATGCCACTTCTCTGATGTCATTGTCCTGGGAATAGCCTCTTGTCACACAGGCGAGCAGTGGGACCGCAGTGTGGAAACCAAAGCAGCAGGTCCACGCAGGCCCCTTTCCTGGGTCAGGGTTTCAGGGACACTCCAGGAGGCCACCAGGCTCAGTGTACATTTTGGCCCATTAACCTTTATAAATCACACCCTATAGTATTCAGTAACTGCATACATTTAAACGGAGAACCAATAAGTATTAGATAAAAGCATATTTTCATGGGCTTTGTGTGTAAGAAAACCTCCAAATTTCATGAATTATTTTTATTTCCTTAACTACTTTGGGAAAAAGAAAAGTTCCACATAGACATACAAACTGGGACAAGCCTTCAGACAAGCTTACAAAGAACTATGCAAATTGCTGTACGTCCTCCCATAAGTGAGTCCGTTCATCTCTAGTCCCCCAAATTGTTAAAAACAATAGTGAGTAGTTGGCCATGACTTTTAAAAGTACGTTTCAGAGAAAATAGCAGAATCACCACTGGCATTTTGGGCCAGATGCAACTGTTGGGATCATGCACCACTCTTATCATTCTCTGATTTAGTGTAATTGTGTTCCTTCCTATTAAATTGTTAATATTAATTCTATATCCCATTGATATGAGCACTCCCATTACACTACGGAATAACTGCTAGCAGCAACCAGAATATATGTATCAGGAACTCGTGCTTTCTTCCCGAATCTGACCACATTCAGCCTCATCGGGAACTATCGCAACGACAACCGAGGGTTTGGGAGCTGGGGGCGGGCACCCGCGGTGCTGCGCATGGGCAGGAGCGCACCGTCAGGGGCCCGACGCAGTGGCCGATGCCTAGTTCTTCTTGGCTTTCTTCAGGGCGCGAGCCCGAATGGACTTGTTAAAATTCATGGCTGTTTTAAGATATAACCAGGAAGGCAGGATTGAGATGATCGAGCCCTAGGAAAAGAAATGGGGAGATATGTAACTACAGCCTATGATTTGAGCTAAATTAAAATACACGATCTTTTTATGCAATAAAAAACTATAATATTTTTAATTTATAGGCAGATTTTAGAGTCCTCGGGTATTTAAAATAAAACACAGTTAAGTCTAGACAATATATATGTCAATATATCACGTACTATTTTGTGACTCAACGGGGGGGAAAACCCCACAAAACCCAAGGGCTGGTTTGGGACTTAGAACGCCACCTACCATAAGAGCATGGATCGGGTATCCGTTGGTTCGGGACTCCAAGCCCACAGTTTTCAGCGCAGACTTCACATACGTCTCTGAAGAGGGTATTTGCAAAGTTGCCTTTCGGATTTTAGCCATTTTTGTAGCCACAAAGAATGGCAGGACGCTCTGGAAAGGCAACACCCCCCGAGAGAAAACATGCCATTGATTAGGAAGGCCACGCACTTGGGATTCGCTGTCACTCTCACTTGCTGTGCGTGGCAGAAACGTTCTGAGGAACCGGAAAGTCTGAGTCTTGAGAGGGAGGGAGGGGGAGCGGCATCCCCGGCCGGCCGCGCAGAACATGTGTTGGTGGAAAACAAATGGCAATAAATCCGTTTATCAACCAAACAGAATTCGAGACTGAAGAAAGTTACAAAAATAAGCAGGCCACCTTTCTGAACATTTAAAAAGAAGGGATTACAGAAGTCTAGAGAGCAGAGCTTCGGGACAGGGTGGTCTTTCTAATCCGACCGAGCATTTGCAGATCCAACACAAGGAAGAGATTTTTGACACGTTTATCCTCCTACAGAAGTCACGCGACATTTTCCCATAATTTATAGTCAATGAAGCTTCTTTCAGCTTTGTTCCTTCTACAAGAAACATTTCACTCTCAGCCTCTGGCCTACCTCTACTTTTCTTCCTTAGTTTCTCAGTTCGTTTGTGTTTTATTTATTCGGGGAACACTAATTAATTTAACTTTTACTGGGGTAACACTGATCAATAACATCATCTAAATTTCAGGTGTGCGACTGATTCTGAGTTACAGAAACGTTGCTGTTAATAAGATAGGACCGCCTCCCTTTTCCGCTTTTTTTTCTTGGTGGAGGAGACAGCAGGACAATAGAGAAGCAGCTTGAACACCTGAAAGACACTTGCCAGGATCGGAGAGGGTGACAGCTCTGAAGGCTGCCTTTTAGAGGGACTCAGCCAGCGCTACTTGTTTATTGCTTATGCTGACAAGACTCTGGATTGTAGGGGACCAGTTTGCCTTGGCCTGGCCAGTGTGACTCAGCTCTGTATGGAAAACCTACAGAAGCAAAGTGGTGGGCAGGAGCCAGACCTTCAGACCGAGTTTTCCCCATGAGAATCAGGCCTAGAAAATGCATACAGATTGTTACAGCTTGCTCTTGCTAAAACTCCATCACCCTGGTCTAAAACAACAAATGTGTATTGTCTATCTTCAAGGTAATATCCAAAGCCTGTACGAGTTCTCCCAAGGACAGAACTAATGAGCTCATCGCCATTCCCCTTTGCATGTTATTTTTATTTCCTTGATTGTACCTAGAATGTAGACAATAATATTCTATGTGATAGATAATAAATCTTTCTATGATGTAAGACCCCAGGAAAACAATAAAAGCCTGTCTAGGCAAGGGTCGGGGCACTCCCCTCTTGAGGGAGTGGCCGAGGCACCATAGGCACTCTCCCCTTGAGACAGTAGTCGTGCCTGTCCCCCTTTTCCACACAGGGTTGTTGTCACCTGTGAATGATTCTCGTCATAAACCACAACAGGCGGACTCCGCTGGACAGGGTCTGCAACACTGGATGTGCATCAACAGAGAATACAAGGGAAGGCTGTGATGATGAGCCCTGGGCCATAACACAAGAGATTCCTCTAGTTTGAAACACCTCAAGCGGGGCTGTTCCCCAAAGAGTGAACGCACTGTGTTCATCTCATGTGGGTGAAAGGAAAGGGCGTCGGTTACGATGACGTCCCCATGAAAGAAGACCTGCTCTAACATGTGGTGGTCAAAATTAAAAACGCCATCACTAGAAGTAGAAATAAAATCGAGGTGTGTTCCACACCATGGCTTTCCTTCCTGTTGAGAAGGAGTGTTCCTGTGACTCTTCTCATGTTTTGTTTCTTTGGTGTGTGTTCTCCCACCCCCAAGGATGAGTAGAATTTATCTCTGGATGACAAGGATGATTGGACGTACAAAAATGAACACGACACATTAACAGAATAAAAGAAAAAGTAACATTTCCTGCTCCTCATTTGATGCAAAATAAAAGAAAGAGAAAAGAAAAACACCTCTGAAAATTTTACATCCAACCGTTGGTTTTGGAGAATTTGTTTATGGCAATTATCACTGTTCCCTTATCCCTCACTGGGCAAAAATAGTTTGTCAAATAGGTCTTTAATTTTAAAATCATGTTGCTGCAAGGATTTAATATAGGAGAGCACAAAGCAAGACGAGATCTCCGAATATCACACAGTATGAAATGCAGAGTTCAATGAGGCGCTCACCATGAGAGAGAGGTTTATTCATCAAGCCGAGGAGCAAACAAAGCAAAACAGAGTGTATACATGTACTCTGTCTCAAATAATGAAGAACACAAGCAAACCATGTCACGTTGTTATGCCTCAGGTTTCCTGGTTACAGAAAGAGCGAAGATTAAAAAGCTGTTGGCGCATATAGACTACAAGCCTGTAAAGTTTTGAGCTTCCCTTGCCCCGGCCAGTGTGGCTCAGCTGGTTGGGCATCTCCCTGTAAACTGAAAGGTTGCAGGTTCGATTCCTGGTCAGGGCGCATGCCTAGGTTGTGGGTTTGGGCCTGGGCTGAGGCTTGTACCTCAACCAACTGAGGTTTCTTTCTCACATCAATGTTTCTCTCCCTCTCTTTCTCCTTCCCTTCCCTTCCCTTCCCCTATCCTGAAAATCAATAAGCATGTCCTCAGGTAAGGATTAAAAAAACAGTTTTGAGCTTCTCAAGACGAAGATGGTCTCATAGCTCCCAATTATTTAATTACATTATAATACCCCTCTTTATATGTCCGTATCTGGCATAAATCGGACTATTTTGATCTTGAAGACACAAGTCGCACTGCCCGGCTGAACCACTTGATGGCGCCACAAGCTAACTGCTCACGCAGCTTAAACCGGCCAACTGTGCAGAGAACCTCGGGGCTGTGGAGGTGGAAATGAGATGCGCATCCAGGACTTCCAAGTCACATTTTCCCAACTAAGACATATAAATTCTACTCTGGAAAGGGTATTCATTTATTTCCACACTGGTTTAAAATCAAAGCAGTTAGCACAGCCGTGTGGAAGATGGAAAGGATTCAGAGATTAAATAACTTCTGAGCTGAGTCTGCAGTGAAGTGGAGGGGTTTGCCAGGTAAACAAATACGGGAGGCACGTTTTGGGAACTGGGAGGAGCAAGAGCAAAGGAAAGCCTGATGCTGTCAGGGCGCCGCAGGTAGCTCAGCAGGGTTCATGCATCAGATGTGTGTGAAGCAGTGGCAGGAGGAAGGCCAGGCAGGGCAACACCCCCACTAGAGTGAGAGCTCTGTGAAAACAGGGTCTTACCGCCACTGTGTTGCCAATGCTTCGAACAGTACCTCCAACACGGCGGAAGCACAAAGAGGAGCTACTGGATAAACTGGCAACAGAACACTCATGGACAGCGGTGAAGGCTGGCATTCGGGTCGCTGTCCACCGCTGCAGTCCAGAAAATTATTTATACCAGGAAGCTGACAGTGTAATATGAGTTTAACCCAAAATTTTTGATATTCCCAAGCTTAAGCAAGATCATCTACCTAAATGAAGGAAGAATTATAGGTCTAGCTCCCTGTCCAGAATTTAAAAAGGAACATTTCAAATTCTGTAAAAGTAAATACCTTATGTGTGAAAATGTCATCTAGGTACATCCTTAAACAGTTAAAAGCTCAATAAGCAAGAATGAATCCATCTTTCCTGCTTATTCAGGGAAACATTACACTGACCAGGTCAAGAAGATGCTTACACTGTTATAGGAAGTATTTCAGGAAGAGAACATTCTGGAAACTGCTTAAGGGCAACAGTCTGCCATCACAAGTACTGAAAACTCGAAACCACCTGAACTCGGCAGCTGCAGATGTGGGCAAGTGTCCTGGTCTTCGAATCTATAATCCCCAAGTGGCAACAATTAACTAAGCCACAAAGCAAAGCTGATGTTTTGTCCTTGCTCAGCCTATTTTTTTAAAAATTCCTGGAGACGACTCGGTATCTTTTCCCCTTCACCCACCGGACCAGCTTGTTTAGGTGTCTGGTCTGCACAAAACAATTCAGGGGCCTCGATGCACAGCTGAGGCTTCCCCAGCCGACGTCATGGAGCAGCGGAGGGATGGGTGCCCATGCTGCCGGGAGGGATTCGAGACTCCAACACTGAGCCTTGGAATCTTGAGATTTCACAGGGCAGAGCACCTCCCACTCAGCCACCGTGTACTAAACATGCCTCCTTGCGTTTCAAAATGGCCAGAACAACTCACAACCAAGCTTTGGGAAACATGGATCTGGAGGACACCAGGCTCATCTATTTGCCCAACATGGAATTCTAGACATGGAGTTTATCTGCCTTTTATGAGCATTAAATCACAAAAGGCATTAAATCACACATTCTCAAGGCAGAGGCTGCAGCCTTTATGAGGCAGTCGAGGAAAGCTTTTTGTCCTTAAATCGGTGTGTCCATTTTCCATGTCAGGATCTGTTCAATGAAAAGGAGCGGGAAGGAGCACTATACCCTTCAAAAATATCAATGTCCTGAAAGACAAAGGCTTGGGTATAACCCAGGTTAAACGGAATGGAAGAGGCAGGAAAACTACATAACACCTGGTCCTAGACTGACCTCTCTACAGGAGAATAAATGATGCCATAAAAAATACCGTGGGGATTACAAACTGGAATAAAGAGGGCAAAGCAGTTAAAAATATTATGCCAAATCTACCTCTAAAGTTGGTAACTGTATTGTGATTATATAAGAGAATCTCCTTATTCTTTAGCAATACCCACTAAAGTATTTAGAGGCAGAGAACCAGGATGGACGCAACTCACCAACATTGACAAAATAAATGAATCGAATGTTAACAGTGACTGACTCCGAGTAAAAGTTATTCGAGTGGTCTGTACTATTCTTATTCTTGCAATTTTTCTGTAGACTTGAAGTTATTTCCAAATAAAAAGGTTTTAAAAGAGAAGAAGGCACCTGAAAGTTGTACAGATTGAGTTTGAGAAGTGGAGTTTCAGGGTGCCGTCCTCACGTTAGCGGGTTCTTACATGCTCAGCATGGGTAACTAGTCGGCACAGGGCCCCCCACTGGCCGGTCAGACTGCTTCTGACTTCGTTCTTTCGAAGAGTGAAGTGTAATTTTGACTGTGCTGAATAATGAGAACAGATAGTTCTCACCAACAGAGCCCACTTTTGATCAAGTTTACCACAGGGCACTTCTTAATCTATTCAAAAGTCAGGCCCGAGTCACCTCCGTGGCCTTGATATCGGTTGGCGTCACTGCTGTTCACTTGCATTTCCAGAAAATGCTTGTATGATGGCAAATCTGAATTCAGAAAGAAAATTTCCAATGCTCTTATAAAATCATAGGAAAGAAGCTGAGGGAAAGATAGGAAGAGAAAAAGTAAAGGAAAAATATTCATAAGGAATTAAATTTAAAACTACCTAGAATTTGAAGACATACTGTCTCTCTCTCCCAAAAGAGCAATCTGACATACACCCAGGTAGACCTAAAAAAGGTCGCTTTCCTTCCAAAGGTTAGAAGAAACTGAAATTTGGCAACAAAGCATTAGCCTGGAAGCCCTCTAGATGGAGAGGTTGAAAATTCAAGCCCAGAGGCGTATGGGAGCAGAAGAAGCTCGAAGGGCCTTCAAAACGGACGCCCGCGCACTGCGAAGCACGGTCGAGCATCATCAGAGTCCTCGGTGACCAGGCAAAAGGCAGGTCTCTGCTGAGCCCCGAATTAGCAACACAGAGACAAGATAAAAAGCCCAGTTCTCAGGCCTACACTGAAGTAGGAGAGGGGATGGGCCAGAGAGTATCAGGCAGGGGTACTCGGTAAGAAATATGAAAGCAGAGGGTGCCGGGTGATGAGATAAGATTTCCCAGGGCAGGTGAAGGGTGGCCTGAGCCTGGAAAGATGGAGGGGCCACAGATCTAGGCATGAACAGGCAGGGCGGAGATGTGGGGGAGAGCTGGGGAGAGGGTGCGCCAGCAGAGAAGCCAGTCCCTGGCACAGCGGGGGACAGGGCGTGTAACAGACACCAGAGAGCCCACTCTGGCTGAACACGGGCCGGATGATGGAGTGGCAAGTGAGGCCGTGGCCTGCGAGGTCTTAGTCCAATCCTAAACATGTTGGGCAGCCCCTGGGAGACTACGGAGGGCAGCATTATCGGAGATGCACTTTAACGAGACCACCCGACAGTAGCAGGTGGGACGCAGTGGACGGGCAGGGGAGCTGGGAGAGACTCCGAGTCCAAAGCTGTGCAGACCTAAAACACCGCGGCAGAAACCCAGCCATCCTGAACCCCGAGCCTCGCGTGCACAGACCAGCTATTTCTGTCCCTCTGGTCGGAACCGACACGAGACTTCAGCATTCTGGTCTGTCCACACACAAAAGCGACAATGTTTATATTTTCACCAACTTCATTCTAAGTTTAAGCCTTGAATGAATTCATAGGAAGGAAGGCAATGATTACATAATTCATAACTCATCATCAGGGAAAAATAAAAATAACCAAAGTACAATATTTTGGAAAACAAATGCTAATGTGTTTTTGTAGTAGTTCCTAGTTGCATCGGATTAATAGGCAGCCAATCAGGAGAAAAGATCTTTGAGGGAAGCAAGGTGTGGGAAGGAGAGGGGAGAAGATAGCTTTGTACATTCACAGAATTTTAGAAATCACTCATCTGTGTCCCCAAAGCCTAATACCCCCTTTCATCATTGGGACAGTCATAGCTTCTGTTCGCACTGCCAAAGGACCCGCACCATTCCTGCCTGGCTTCAGCAGGTGTTGAAAAATTACTAAATTAATAGCTTGATTACAATGATTTCATCAGGATGAGAACACAGCACAGTATTGCGTGGCCTTGATGTCTTACCTCTCGTGAATGCCGGTGTCCACATTAGCAAAATACAACACGTTATACATAGCAGATTTGAGATACTACTACTGGAATGACTGGTGTCAAGGAAAGGAGAAAAGGCTAGTATGGTCATTTAGTATGAAATTCCTGATTTTCAAAAACCCTGTTTTTCCCAGTGTACCCTCTGTGGATGGGATGCTGCAAGTCAGAATAATACCAAGTGGCCATGATATCTTGGGGCCCATTGGGCAAGACTTCAGGTGGGGGGCTCCAGGACACAGGCTGTGTGCTGACCCCGGAAGATGAGAAGACGCTGAGCCCACTCCCCCTCCAACGGCCGGCCCTCTCGCTGTGGGTGATTTAGCACCAGCTCCTACTCATCAAGTGAAAAGGTTTACAAGCTACATTTAGATTAACACTCAGGCCCCTCTTGAATGTCTGAAGGTACAAGGGGAGAAATGGAACCAAGCAGCGGAGCCCCTTCTGGTTCCACAACCGCCTGAGCACAGGAGGTCCAATAAGAGCCCAATGCCGTCCTAAGAGCCCGGAGCAAGTGGCACTGTCGTTCAGAACAACGGCTTGGGTGCCAAATGGACTCAGACTGGAGGGCTGGTGGCTTAACCTCCCTAAATCGCAATTTCCATAAATTCAAGGAAGATGATGGTCTTAGATTATAATGAAATGCTGAGTGTTGTGCCTGAAAAGTATCCCCTTAGATATTGTTATTATTATGATGGTTGATCATTGGGGGCTTCAGGGTACAAAAAGCACAACCACAGGCCCACAGTAATAAAGCCATAGTGAACACTGGGTGTATGAAGCGCTGGGGGCGGGTCACAGGCAGGAACAGATAAAAGACACGAATGTCAAGTGCTCCCAAAAGTTCGATAAAACTGTGCCTGAGCAAAGAAACGCCACAAGCTATTACTTCTGAACAAGAGCTGATTTGAGATAGACACTCTGAAAACTCCTCAATCTGTGTCCTCTTATATTTTGTACTATACGTTCACAGCATTATATCTGTTAGCTACATGATGAAATCAAAGCTCTCTATAAAAATTAAGTCAAACTGGCACCAAAGGCCTAAATGTACAAGCTAAAACTATAAAACTCTTAAAAGAAAACATAGGTATAAAGCTTCCCAACACTCGTGGTGGCAATACTTCTTGGATATGACACCAAAAACACAAGCAACAAAGGAAAAAAAATCAGACCACATCCAAATTAAAACTGTTGTGGATCAAACGACACTAGGCATAGAGTGGAAAGGCAACCCACAACGCAGGCGGAAATATTTGCAAACTACCCAATAAAGGGTTAATATCCAGGATATATAAAGGATTCCTACAATTTGACAATAAAAAGCAAACAACCCAATATAGAAATGGGCAAAGGAGTTGAATAAACATTTCTCCAAAGAAGATACACAAATGGTCAACAGGCACTTGAAAAGGTGCTCAACATCACTCATAAGCAGGGATATGCACGCCAAATCCACAGAGATACTGCCTCATACCCATTAGTGTGGCTATTACTTACAAATTAAAACAACAACAGGAAGTAAGCAACGCTGAGGATGTGGACAAGCCCCGGAACACTTGAGCATTGCTAGTGGGAATGTGCAATAGGGCAGCTACCGTGGAAAACAGTAGGAACCTCTTTCCCCCGAAAGTCAAATTACCATATGAGTCAGTAATTCTGCTTCTAGGCACATATATGAAAGAATGGAAAGCAGGGTTTTGAAAAGATAGGTGTGCACTCATGTTCACAGCAGCCAAGAGCTGGAAGCAACCCGAATGTCCGCCTATAGATGAATGGCTAAGACAGTGTGGCGCGTCCACGCGGTGGAATCGGATTCAGCCTTGAAAAGGAAGGGAATTCTGACACTCGAGACAACACAGACGGATCTTGAAGCCATTATGCTAAGTGAAAAAAGGACAAATCCTGTATGATCCCACTCACGTGAAGCACCTGGAGTTGCCAAGTTCAGAGGGACCGGAAGTAGAATGCTGGCAGTCGGGGCTGGGGAGGCGGAAATGGGGAGTCACTGTTTAATGCGGACAGTCTCCGTTTTGGAAGACGAAAAAAATTCTGGAGTTGGATGGTGGTGATGGCTGAATAACAATGTGAATGTACTTAATGCCACGGAACTGAGTACTTAAAAATATTTAGGCGGTGTTTTCTGTTACGTACATATTGTATATGTTACCACGGTCTTCCAACTACTAAAATCACCCCCATGTCTGCACCATCCTGCTGTCTGCTGTTGGCCTTGCTCCAGCAAAAGTCGGTGTTGTTTGGCTCTCCACCCTCGCTCGCGGTTATCACAGGACTTTGGAGCAGTCTCGGCCCCCCTGACATACCTGACAGCTAACGGATAGTAACAGTCCCCTTCTCTCAGAGCACTCGCAATAATTATGCTTCAACTGTGTACACTACACTCAGTTCTACTCTAGGTATCCTGACTGAAAAATTCCAAGGAATAGTTTTTTTTAAAATCTAGACTTAAAGTGCATAAAGAAAAAAGAAACCATAATCGCGTGCTAACGTCACAGTCACTTACTTAGGAATGTCATTTTCTTTTGTTACCAAGATGGCAACAGTTGCTGTGGCAACCACTCAAAAACAGGAATACTTTACTGAAACAAACTCTACTCACCTGCACAAAGATGCCCTTGCTCCTGTATTCCTCGTGGAGGCACCGAGAGAAGAAATCTACAAAAGCCTGGGAGGGGGCGGGAGTGAGAACAAAACACACACACACAATCACATCAATCGGCCTGATTTGCAGCCATGGAAACAAAAAGTAACAAACCAACCATTTAACACCGTAGCTTCTAATCATTCTTTTTATTTCAAGTGCAGAAGAGACCTTCAAAAAAAAAACCAAAAAACAAACCACCTGAAGCCCTCAAGTCACTTTTATCTGCCACCAAATTAGGTATTCTCTTACCAAACATAGTGTCCTGATCAAATTTTGATTGGACTGGAAAAGGCTCTTCTTTCCTTTTTCCAGAAAATTACTCTCCAAGAAGAAGTGTTTCATTATACAACAAAGGGTGCTTTTCTCCTCCCTACTTGCCATTCAAACAAAAACACAATATAAATTCTGTTCGACTCTGTTCTGTGAAGATTCTGTTATCAATAAAGAGAAGAAAAGAGCAAGCATCCTCTTGGCCCCAAGGATCCAACAAGTAGTGGAGATGAACCTGACAGCCCACCTTCTCCTGATAGCGTGACTTTAAATCTGTTTGTGAAATATAATGTACCATTTTCAACTGTGGATGTAGCCTCAGGCTGGAGGTGAAAAGTATCAATAATGACTCTACTATTAGGGTCCCAATAATTAGTCTTGTGTCCGTGGAGCAGAACAGGCGAGCAGTTGGTGCTCACCGATCACTTCGGGAACCCTGGCGCTCACTGGAAACATGCCCACTGTATATAGCAGAGTGTGGAAAAGCAGGTAGATTACAGGGCTGGGGGGCGGGGCCAAGCTTTGCCAAAAGACAGCAGTCGCTGTTGATGTTTTTCCAGGGGACAAAAAGCTGAGTGAAAAAGACGGCAGGCATTTTGCTCTTTTAGTTCCCTGACCTATTGCATGTTCTCATTATGTATTATATTTTGCTCATTTCCCCCTAAAAGCTTATTTAATTTCAGCATCTCAGCGGTCATTTCCATTTCAGAGATGAATCCTATGCCTCAACAATGTATATGCAGATGATGCTATTGACCTGCAAGCAGTAGGAAATATATTCTAAATTATTTTTCTAGTAGTAATGTGAGAGGTGAACGGTGATATATAAAATTACATCTTACAGAGTTCTGGAAAATTCTCGTCTCACTCTGGAAGTGACAACAACTATCTGTGAATTCTGAATAATGTGGCAAAATACTCACACTCTCACCCAGTCTATCTTGTGCCTACTATGTGCATTTAAGTGCTGACTGGCTGCAGTCCTTCTCAGCTCTGTATACTTGAACCAATGCTGTATGAAGGTGACTTATTAATGAATTAAATCCCTGATCTTAGATTCATTAACATGATGCTCTGATCAGCTAAGCCAGCTTTCCCTGGAAAGTTCAAATATCAATTTTAACACCTGTAAATGGAGGAAAAACCTGTCTGTGGATCTGCGACCTTGGCATCCCATTTACCAAGTTTCTACCAATCAGCCCTCACTGGCTCTTCCTGGCTCCCATGAAGCTGGTGCAGGGTATTTTCCTTTTCTTCTCATTCCACTTAAAAACTGCTAAGAATAGAACTTGAAGACAGTTCTATGCTCATTTCTGAGATTTGAAATTAATATGTATTCTGACAGAATTTACTAAAAACTTGGTCACCTTGGTTGCAGAGTAGATGGTCAGTAGTGGAACCGGCAACATGCCGCTCGTGGAGGAGATGTTCAGAATCACGCCTTTAGACCTAGGGAGGAAAGGGCACCATAAAGGGCATGAAATCACATACACAACTGTTCATAAATTACAGATGAAGATACGGATCTGGAACAGAATGACCAGCTGCTTTTCTAACACACATCTCTCCTTGCCTTTCATCAGCATGTGATGTGCTTGGTCAGTGAATGAGGCATAACTCAATCAACTAAAAATAGCTCTTGCTTGCAGTTAGCTCATTTCTCAGTCTTAGTAATCTAGGGCACAGCCGGATCAGGCCTGCAGTCTCCTCGAGTTGATCTCCACCCTGTGCGGGCTTCTCTGCCCACAGCACGGAGAATGCTCACTTTGAGAAACATTCTTCCCCTCCTTGGGAGCTTTTGTTTTGGCATCTCGTCCCATACTACCTTGCTGCAGTATCTGACCATTTTGTGTGCATGTGCATTTTCTCCTGCAACACAACCACGGGCTTCTGGACAAGGTGGCCTTTGTCCCCTCACTTCTCACAACACTGAGCACAGTCCTGAGCGTGTAAGCAGTACTTAGTAAAACCTTCTGGAAGTGAGTGAGGGGTAGGTCCTGCCCTCCCTGGGGTTGTAGACATTCAGGCACTACACGGACCCCTGCCTCTAACACGGGATGCTGTAGCTCATCAAGCCATATTCTTTAGCCGAAAGGCAAAGCTCCCAAGTTTCTACCGCAACTTTGAGAGACTGTTGAAAGTTAAAAGTCAGAGAGTTATCAGGAGTTACTAACACTACTGATAAGTGAAAACTGGTTTGAGGGACGCGGTTCTACAGATATGTAGGGAGAATGCGGAAGTAGGGTTTTAGTGGCTTTAGAATTCACAAGCAGCTCTTCCCCTTCACTTCCATTCTTCTCCTAGGGGTCGGTCCCCTTCGTCAGTGACAGCAGCCTGCCTCACCACCTCCTGTGCCCCATAGTCAGGCTCCTTTTCGCAATCCATTTCCTCATTTTTCTTCATCTGAATTTACTTTCCCCAAAGCCTATTTTTTTCAATATTGAAAAAGGGGACTATATAAACCTTTTTATGCACAATAATAGGAGGAACATGATTAAATGCCATCAAAGTTATTCCAGACATAAATCTGAAAAGAAATAATCCCTGAGGGTCGCCCGGTCCATCTGGCAGCCTCTAGGTGAGATGCCACCTCAGCCGTCAGATAGGAAGTCTGCATCCTCAGCCCGGTGTGTCCCAGGAAACAAGTTGTCGTTTTGGTTTTATTTGCAACACACACTGTCCTAAACAGCGAAATCCATATTTTGGTCCCAGAAATCAAATTCTCAAATATAAAAATGTGACAGTAGTGTTTTGAAGAAAGTTGGAATGTAGTCAGTGTTTTAATTACACCATTTTTGCATTTTTAAAAATTTAATATTATTTTGTTAGTTTCAATATTAGTTTCAGGTGTACAGCATCGTGGTGAGACAGTCATATACTTTAAAGTATTCCCCCTGACATCTGCAGTAACCCACAGGCACCATACATAGTTATTATAGTATTATCGCCTGTATTTTTTGCTGGTATCTCTGATGGAGAGAAAAAAGCCTTCCCTTTTTAAATTGTAAGGTAAGAGTGTAACAATTTCTATTAGGTGTTAGAAGCTGATCATTTGTAGCAATGAATATGTAGTAAATTCATTTTATCTATATTTGTGAGAAATCCGTTTAATGAAAGTAAACAAAAACGACCGGAGATGCTTAATTAACATTAATTTGTGATGTTTAAAATATCTTTATCTATTAAAGGTGTTGCAAATAGTACAAAATCAGATTGTGATGATGGCTAGGACCCACCAAACTGTACACTTTATAAATGAGTGGATTTTATGGTATGTGAAGTGTATCTCAATAAATCTATAAGAAAATAGAGAGAAAATATATTTATGATATATTGGAATGTGCTGCTTTTAAGCTCAGAGCAGATACCAATGAACTAGAAGCTATGAGAGCAATTAGTTCTCACCAAAATAGACTTCTAAAACTTCATTCACCAAAGCAACAATTTTCATACTGGAAAATTCACTGAAAGATGACAAAAACTTCTTTCCTGCTTTCAAATATAACACACCAAAAATCAAATGTGTCATCATTACGCAGTTATGCTTCTTTAACTGTTTACTCCTTGAGTCCACTGACGTGTTTGCTTCTCAAATATTCTACCCTAATTAAAATTCCTAGGAGGCAGAGTTAGTTTGAATTAGTGATAAGTCAGAATTTGAGGGTACTTTCTCCAAAATGAAGTACTCTCTCTCTAAAATAGATGAAAACAAGCCTAAGACCAACGAAGTACAAGGTGAGAATGCACTAGACCTGAGTAAGGAAAAGGCAGGCATTTCTAACAGAACTAAAATGGCAGCAGAGAAAACACCCTTCTGCAAAAACCCTGTGCAACCGAGAAGCACACGGATTTGTCTGCCTAGCAAAAGCCTTCCCCACACACCCACACACAAGACAGCACAGAATTCTCCCTTTCTCTCCAAGGGTGATCACAGTCACCTTAGTTTTGTCTGAATCATAAATGACACACAGGTATAGCTGCCTTAATCCTTGTACTGTATACGAACGGGGTCTGGGCTTTATGCAGAGATGGGGATGAACATTTGGGAGTGTGAGGCCCAAAGGACTCGTCTGTAAAATCAACTACTTTGTCAAGCTCTAATCCTCTATCTCAGCAGAGTTCATGACGTCAAACCAGTTTCCATGGCATTGCCAGACTCTCGACAACTCTATCAAGCAGAAGGACAAAACAGGCTGCGCTTAATTGCACACAGAAACAAACATAAAACCAAACCCTGGTTAATCTCTCATTTTCCAGGGACTTGGGGAACAATTCTAAGATTGGAAGGTACATTAGGAATATTTGCTGAAGTTCCACACTGAAGACTCACATTGCTGAAGCACATTCCCAGTTTGTTATGACAAATAATCCAAATAAACGAGTCAAGTGATCTTCTCTGTGATACAACATTCTCAATTCATCACGCTTCCTACTTGCGAACAGCCACACGATGGTGTCTCAGCGGTGCAAATTTCCTGAGAATCCACTAGAACTAAAATCCGCAGAAACAAAGCAGAAAACACCATTGCTGCTAAGGAAGCACCTTTTCACAGGATCGTGTTCTCTTCCATGACTAGCCCTTCTCACCGGGGAAATCCTCAACTCACACAAACCTGTAAAACTCAACACCACGCATTTATAGCTTCCTATGGTTAGAATTCCCCCAGAACAGAAATTCGCATGCACAACACTCTCCTTCCTTGTCAACTGGAGACAAAAACAATAATGCCAAGCCTGTATTCTCCTGTGCACGCCCCCTATCCCGTCAGACTGCTGGAGCAACCTGGTCCACAGCTCCAGAAGAATTATCGCCATAGAGGAAGTGACAGGTCTCCTCCGAAGTAAGTCACTGCTTTCTGGCGTCCTCATCACGGCCTCACACTGCAGGTGAGGAGAGATGGGCAGACGTACGTGCTGCCGTGAAGACAGAACACAGGGTCAGCCCTTGTGTGGGTGGCCGACTGCAAACAGCTTGATGCCAGTCATGGGCAATCGTGTAAATAAGACTGTCACAAGTGTTCACATTTTCATGTCTTAGCAGGGAGTGCAAAAGTGCGCTCTCGGAGGGTCATTACTTTTATTTTTAAGCTTTAACATAATACTGAAGTTGGTACAGACAGTTCTCCAACAGATTCTCAAGAAGTCTGAGAAATACATCAAAACAGTTCCATGGTCAGGGAGATAATTAGCACTAGCAATCCAAGTACATTACACAAATATTGCTTTCTTGAAGAAAGTTTGCAAACAGTTACTGCATGAGAGGGAACTGCCTGCCCTAAAACAGCATAACATGTCATAATTCCACCTTAAGCGATACAGTATGAGAGAGCTATTTTTAGCTTTTCCATGGTTGTTATGGCAACCACCTCCTGGCTCCAGCTGTACACAATGTTTATAATTCCAGGGAAGTGGAAAAAGCAAGTTTCCTCTAAAATGTAATTATGCACTTTCTACCTCTATGGTAATAACACCTTCGTTTGATTGCAGATACTTGTGTAGTGATGGTCAGTTGGCCCTCGGCTGCAGTTCCGGAGGGTTTGGAAAATCTCACACGTCAGAGATAGAATCAGTGAAAGGGGAAACACACAACCGCAAAGGATCTTTATACCGGAGTCCACTTTTACTAAATGGAGATACAAATCCTGGGAAAGCCAAGCATAGGAAATGTGCCATTTGGGGACAGTGTAAAGGACACATGATAATTAATCATTTACAATGCATAGCGATCTGTTAAATTGGAGTTTTTCTGTCCTCTTGGGCACACAACTAACATTTCTGCCCACCCCACCCCACCCCCGCCCCTGGTGCAGTTAGCTGTAGCCTCTCTCTGAGTTCTGAACAGTGCACTGTGGGCAGAAGTGATTGATGACGGACACACACCAAGCCTGGGCCTGGCCCATGAATATGCCCATCAAATCACCCTTATTCTCCCACCTCACCTGCCAGCTGTGTCCAGAGGACCTGGCAGAGAACTGCAAGGCCCAGCAACGGGGACTCTAGATGGAAGGAGCACGAGACCTCGAAGAGCTGGGTAGAGCAGAGCCCTGACCCCCAATTCCCTGGCTGTGATGCAGGGGGAGAAGCAGCCATCACAGCCCCTGGGCTCCGAGAGTGGCCTGTCAGTTAGCTTACCCAGACTGCCACGACTAGAAACTCCTTTAATTCAAAGTAAATATGGCTGTTCCTTCGCCTAACCAAAAGCACTGACTCATAAAATCCACTTACATTTCTTATTAGTTGTTAACAAGTGCCACAACCCCCTTCCCCCCAGTCCATGTCAGTTTTAGTCCAGCCTACGGTGGCTCTCTGCCAGGTCAGTTCTCAACCTCACTTTAAAATCAACTTGAGTTCTTAAAGGCAAGGATCCCATGGATCTTCTGTGTACTCCATGACAAAACATACACAGCGAATGCTTGTTGAGTGGATGGATCCCTTTCTTTGCATTCTTTGTTTTTATCCAGTGCTCCACTTACAACTCTGATCCTGGCTACCAGGTCTACGGAGATGGGAGTGACGTTCCTAGTACCCAGAGCACTTCCTAATTGTGTAGCTTCATAATCTGGAGTACTGAAATTCTATGACTCTTCGAACCTAATACTTTATGATGTGCAAAAGATGTCATAACCGCTATCTCTTTTGACTTAGTTTCCTTTTTACCAACACACTTAGAAATTCTTTCTACACTATCTCTGTGATTTATAAGTATTTCTTTTTTAATAGATGGAATTCCTGTTCTGAATTAATACCATGTCACTTGCAGTTGTCAAAGTGGGATTAAGCCGATGGCCCAAATTTCATCCCTCCTGAGTTCTAGTCTGTCTGCCCTGATTCTCAGCAGTTTTCTAGGGTTCTGGTTTGGTTTGATCACCGTCACTTCTTCTGACCATCAGGGGGACATGCTCCCATGGCCAACCAACAACAAGCAGTTTGAAGATGTTAAAGGGGAATTTGCTATTAAAACACACAAAACTACATATCAAATGAAATTACAAGCAAAGAGCCTTGCTAAGAAGCAGTTTCTCAACCAGCTTCTGCAGAAGCCAAACAAAATGGATCCCTAACCCAGTGAGGAACCCAGTGCACCATGCAATGGAATCACCTGCACCATGATGGGAGGCCGTCAGAGTTAAATGAACTAACACAGACCTTGTTCTCAGTGCAACACCTGGCACCTAAAAGGTGCTCAATAAACATTAGCGGTAGCCCCTCCCTGAGGCTGGTCATAGAGGTGCCATCACAGAAGTAGGGTCCTGGGTTGTCCCTTCTCAGAGCTGTGAGTCCTTTGGGTGTCGTCCAAGCTCAAAGCTACTTTGCAGAGCAGGGATGACCGTGAAGCCCTCCATTGAGTGAATGCTCCGCTGGCTCAAGATGCAAGCCCAGCTCTTTCCAGCAGGCTTTCTTTGAAGGTCTAGCCGCCATTCAGGCTTTTCCAAGGGAAGAACAGAGTGTAATGACAATTCTATACTTCAGGCTATTTCAACGGTGAGAACTCAACAGCACGTTTCTCCATAAAAATGAAGACACCCAGGGCAGGGAACCCAACATAAAGCGGAAGAACGAGGCCAGTGGACACAGTCTTTTCTTCCAAGAACAGGTTTGACAACTTATAAGCACATTACGGCCCCAATCCTCACACACTCATGCTCCCAGTAAGAACTGGAAAACCAGAGGATGGGGCCTGACGTCCTGAAACTCCACCGACTTGGGCTCTGAGAGCACACAGCTTCCAGAAGGTGTTCCCGGGGCTATCCCAGGAACTCTATCCACCCCCTCAGAATAGCAGGCAATTGAGTTAGTGATGGTGACTCAGGCAGACTTTTTATCCAGATCTAAAGAACCACCGCAACTCTGAAGAGGGAAATCAAAAGGGAATCGAGTGGAAACAGCCTCCACCACTGGGTGACTCACACTTCACCCTGTGACTCACCGGGCACCTTACTCTGTCACTCAGATGTGGGGGACAGGTTCGTTAGCCACTTTAGCGAATTTCTCAGAGAAAGGGTTCTCCCTATAAATAATCATGAGTTCTGTCTCCCCGGTGCGTGTGTGTGAGCTCGTGACTCACCTTTGGACCATGCCGGGCAGCACCAATTGTGTCATCTGCAAAAGAGAAAAACAAAACATCTGATGGCTGAGGATGACAGATAAACAGGGAGGAGAAGCCACCCCCACACACGAGATGGGAATCACAAAACCACTCACCACCTCCACAGGCAGCGGCCTATTGTGCACAGTCTGCATGATTTGTCCGTGCCAAGACAAGGGAGCAGATGAAATGACTGGAGAGGACACTGGGAATACTTTCAGTCAACTTGGCTAAAATTATTCTCACCTGCTATGTGATACGGGCACCGAGATCTTCAAATAATTAAGGATTTACAGAGAAATCTAAGTATCCCAATATGTGTTCTCAGGAAAGGAAATGGGTTATTGCAAGAAATATTATGCCTACAAGATTACTTAAGCTTTCCAGTCTCAAGAGTGCCAACGGTCTTTCCCTATCATGGTAGCCTTTAGAAGAAGGCCATAAAAAGGTATGTTGGCAAATATTAAGGGTATCTTGACATTCACTTCTCTTGCTGCTGTAGGCAAGTAGTGAGTGAAACTCACCCTCAAAGTAAGTTAGGGTTAATCTGTGATCTCAAGTGACCAGTAATGAAAAAAGAATACTTGCATTATTAAAGGACTTCACGACTGTTGGCTACCTACATGTAAGATGATGGCAGAGGCTATTTGTAAACTCTGTTTTAAGATGCGATTAACTAAGAAAAGTTACCGTATCCACTGGCTTAGTCAAGGCCCCATTATAAACTACTGAGGTTAAAACATGAATTCTTGACTCCTGCATATCATCAATTCCCTAGGAAACAAATGCTGTGTTGTCACAGAAAAGTTTGCATGCATGCTAACTATAGGAGTTTAAAGCTTTCTATTTTGAATCGGTTTTCATTAAAATAGCATTCTGAGAAGAGACTTTGTTTTTCCTAGAAATGTCACCCCCTACCAATAGGTTGTATTTAATTTAATTTTTTTGTAATTGAGGTAACATTAGTTAATAACATTATAGTATGTGCTTCAGGTGTAAAACATTATAATTTGAAATTTGTATACACTAAAGCATGCCCACCACCAAAAGTCTAGTTTCTTTTTTAATTTTTAAAGAATTTTTAATTCTTTTTATTTATTTTTAGAGAGGGGGAAAGGAAGCAAAAAAGAAAGAGCAAGAAATATCAATGTGTGGTTGCCTCTTACATACCCCCTACTGGGGAGCTGGCCTGCAACTAGGCATGTGCTCTGACTGGGACTTGAACCAGTGACCCTCTGATTCGCAGGCCACCGTTCAATCCACTGAGCCACACCAGCCAGATAAAAAGTCTAGTTTCTATCTCTCACAATATATTTGACTCCCTTTACCCATCTCACCTTCTCCCATCCTCTCTTCTCTTTTGACAACTATCAATTGTCTGCATCTATGAGTTTGACCTTGTTTCATTTTTGTTTTATACTCTACACATGGGTGAAATCATATATTTTGTCCTTTTCCACCTGACTTATTTCACTCAGCATAATAACCTCGAGATTCATCCACGTTGTGGCGAATGGCAGTATTTCATCTTCTACAATCACTATTACAAAAAGACGAGATGCACAAGGGCCGGCGAGCATGGGGAGAAGGGGGAAATGCCCTCCCGGTTGGTGGGGCTGTTAATCCGCGCGGCGATCACGGAAAACAGCACGAAAGCTCCTCAAAACATTAAGCACACGGTTACCACATGATCAAGCGAGTCCTCCTCTTTGTATTCACCCAAAGAATATGAAAACACTAGTCAAAAAGATGCACGCGCTCCTGTGTTCGTCGCAGCATGACTTACAATAGCCGAGATCTGGAAACGACCTAAGTGTCCATCAACAGGTGGGTAGAGAAGATGTGGTGTATACATGCACAACAGAAATACCTTAAAGAAAAGGCATCCGGACCTGGCCCAGGTCAAATCTGCGATGTGGCACTTTGAACCCAGTTACGAACCTTGAAACTGTTGCATGTACTTTTCTAGTAAAAACACGAGTTCAAACCGATACCGTGTCATAAAAGAGAGATGGACACACCACCAACTTCAAAACAGTCAAAGAAGTGTCTTCGAAGCCTAGGGGAATTATTTCAACAGAAGTATCTGGATCTGGTCGAATTTTCTGGCCCAGATAAAAAAAGAAGAGACCATAATGGGGTCTCCGCTCAAGTGTAAAGCACTCTGCCTCTCCCTCCTTCTTACCCGCAAATCTGCATTTTTCATGTTAATCTCATCTTCAGAGAATAATGGGACAGAGAATACCAACTGTCTTCCCACATTCATTCTTTCCATCATACATAATGACTGAACTTTCAGTGGGCTATGTGACCTCTTTCCTGCCCTCCTTGCCCCTGATAAAACCGTATTTTCTTCCTGCTCTCTCAGATCATGTGGTCCTACGACTGCAAACTACCTAACAGATGTGAACATAAGTAGTCCGTACAACTTCTCGGTCGTGCCATTAAAGAAGACAAAAATGTGCGTCCTCCTCGCCACCTGTCCTGCTCTTCGTGGCTAGAACACAGACGTGAGGGGAGGAGCTACAACAGCCAAGAAGAAAGCCACGCACGAAGCCAGGGCAGCAATGAGATGAAAGGAGGCAGGATCCCCGGGGATCACTATGCCAAACCTTGATTACCTACACAGCTTTTCATCGGAGAAATAAATTTCTATTTTTAGCCATTCCTGGATTTCTGTAACAGCAGCCAAACCAATATTCTAATATAACTTACCATTTATACTACTAAACATCAACCAATATTAATATTTTAATGCTTAATCCCCAAAATAAAGTCAATCAAATTATGCTGATAGCCCAAATGTCCTCACTATTTTATAGTTTTTAAAACACAATTCTGTTTCTTCTCTTCTCTAGGTTTGCTTGACCCGATTCAGAAAGTGCCCAATGGGCCTCAGAGTAAACTATGGAACCAAGTCAAAGAAAAGGCTGATTTCAGAGTTTATCCTTGCAACACAGTCACCTCCTGTCTTTTCAGATTAAATAACAGCTATCCAAATTAAGTAATAACTCGTAAAGGCTTCCTAAGATTTATCTGTTACGGGAGCGTAGGAATTGCTCAACAGACAGCTATTGAATGTTTAAGGCAAATGCGGTATTCAGTCAGGCCAAAGTTCTAACCCTGGCCCTTCCACTTCCTGGCAGTGTGACCTGGAGTTCGTTCCTGATTCTCCTCTGCAGAGTCCTTATGTGTTAAATGAAGAAGGTATCTATATTACAGGTTATCATTTCTCAATCTCAAATAAGGAAGCATAAATAAAGGACCTAGCATAGAGCCCATCACAGAGCAAGGCCCTGAAAGGGAAGCAGTAGCCATCACTGCCAGCGTGCACCACTCTTAGGATATGGCACCAATAAGCATCCAGGCCTCCCTTAAGCATGTGGTGCCCTACACAGGTTAGAGCCAAAAACAACGACACATTCTGAGGTCATCCAGCTGAACTCCGCACAGAGAAGTTTCTGGACAGTTCTGTCCACTGATATCCAAACATATCTCAGCTGGGATCTCCTTGGGGTAATAGCATTATTCTGAAGTGGGACTGTGGTGATGATCGTACAACTCCATAAATTTACTAAAAGCCATTCAACTGTACACCTAAAATAAATGAGTTTTTTTAGTACACACGTCATCTCTCAATAAAGCTATTTGTGACAAAAAATCTAAGAATTAAAGAACTGGATTCACAAAATACATTTGATGTTACTCTTTCACACAGAGAAGAGAAAAGGAGCTCTAAAAATGCTCTGTGCATATCAACTTCTGGCCTGGCCCAACATGAAGCAATAACAAAGCATTCTTCTGTCCAGGGGAAGCCATGCTGTACTTGAACCCGAGCTCGGTGATGAGAACTCACTCACTACCTAGCAGGAGAACAGATTATTGTAAAAATAAATCATAACGTGGCCATGCTATGAGTGGTGCCAGCGAGGTAGGGACAGAAGGCACCAATGCTTTGGAGGACTATTACATCTGGGGCATCAGGGAGAGCCTCACGGATTACATTTAAAAATTAAATAGGTGTTCGCTAGGCAGGAAAAACAATTCTAATCGAAGGAATAAAATGCAAAAATGCAACAGCTACAAGAAACAATGTATGCTATGAAACTGATGCATTTTAAAAACTTTTCGTTGAGTGGATGAAGTAAAAAAGAAGTAAAAGCATGTGCACCCTAAAAAATGTCACACGATCTGCATGTCACCCTACAACATGGACAGCCTCCGTGCCGGTGTGAGCAGGGAGGGGTGCACCAGGCACATGAGCGGTTGTGGAGTATTTTAGTGCAAGGACAGATCATATGCATTCCTAGCAGTACCTAAAAACACTTTTTATTTTGCATCTTTCTTCAGGGGACCACAATGCTTGGCTAATAATGTATCACAGAGAGGTCCCTAAGCATTTTGTGAAGAGACGTCATTATTCATTTCCCCAAAGTCCTGAGGTCACCAGAAACAGAAAGAAGATGGACAAGACGGATAATAAAAACTTCTCACCCAGGGGCAGGGGTGTCTGTGGGTGTGTGTGGGTGTGTAAAATGAGAAAATGAGATGCTGTGTGCAACACAGCTGAGTGGAATCCACAAGCGTGGCCACTGATGTTCAGCTGCCTGCAGAGGGGGAGGGGGAGGGAGAGGCTTTGGAGGCAGCAATCAGTCTGCAGAACTACCAGTTAAGTGTGAAGATGGATTCTTTTATTCCGACCAGGGATCTCAGTGCCATAAGAATGTTTAGTCAGTGGTTGTGCAGAGTGTTAAAGTTCAATTCAGATTTTTTCCCAAGACATCAATTTACCCATTTAGATCCAGTCCAGCAAGAAACACTGCTTTAACCTGGGATATTGAGGCAATACAAACGCATACCCTGGAAGCTACATTTTTCTTTACACTGTGTGCATGTCATACATTAAATGTCTCCTTTCTGAATGGTGAAAATTGTCCAGGCAAAATAAGACCCCACAAGATATCATCTTACTCACAAAATGACATCAACAGCATGCTAAACATTAAATATATTC